ATTCATGTTTTGGTAAACCAGTTAAGTTATTTCAATGTTTCTTAATCAATGTTATAGCTCTAGGAAATTTCTCTTTCACATCCAAGAAAAACACAATGAAATAAACTTAAGTGTCTTTTCAGTCATTATATATATATATATATATATATATGTATGTATTTATATATATACGATAACATTGAAAAAGGAAATACCCACCTCTTAAAAGTGCCTGTCCTTCTGGAAGTTTACAAACGTATTTGGTGCGTTCAGAAGGACATTTCCATGATCCATCAAAATGACAATCACAGTTAAATTGGAAGCAGCCTTCAATGAATGAAAATGAATCTCGCAGTCGATATTGGTTACTTCCCACCGTGCAGTATCTAATATACGTTCCAATGGCAAACACGCGGTTAATCCAGTGGGCTATGAAACACAAGAAAATATTTAAATCAATTAATTGTCGGTTCTAAATTGTTTTCTGCTTATTTAAAATCGAAAAATTAAAATCAGACCATATCGCTGATTTGTTACAAGACATTCAATCGCATAGTTTTATTAATTCCTGATAAAATATTATTTACAGATTGATGCCTAAAATAATTAGAATTGTGATGACATATTCATTTGAGATTTTTGTTTTTACTATTTTGGGTAATGAAAGATAAATTCTAATGTCAGCTTTAGTATAGGATATTTAATTTTTACTTCTTGGTTGTTTTTTGTTTTTTTTGTTTTCGTTTTTTGTTTTTTGCTAGCAACAACTTTTACCCTGAGTAGAATTAACCCTTAAACAATGGGTTATCATCAACTGATGTTTCATTCGAGATTAACCGATATCATCAGTTGGGGATTTAAACTTTCCAACAATACGGACAACATTCATTCATAATTCGTGTCTAAATGACTTAATTGATAACTCTACGATTCGTGGGGTTACTATTTACTACAATACATGCAATTACGTCATTTCTTGGAGTATTTGCCAGCAAATGAAACTGAAACTGAAAGAACAAGCCAAAGAGATGAAAATGATTACAATTTGATGTACAACTCCATTGTGCAAGGTATTTTTCAAGGAATATCATTTTGCTAAAAAGGAATATCATTTTGCTAAAGAGAAATGTCATTCTGCTAAAGAGAAATGTCATTCTGCTAAAAGAAATATCATTCTGCTAAAAAGTAATATCATTCTGCTAAAAAGGAATATCATTCTGCTAAAGAGAAATATCATTCTGCTAAAAAGGAATATCATTCTGCTAAAAAGAAATACCATTCTGCTAAAAAGAAATATCATTCTGCTAAAAAGGAATATCATATTGATAAAAGATATTAAATTTAGGAACATAACATTTGTTTTATTTCCTTTTTATTTATTTATTTATCTAAATAATATGTAATATTTAGAAATAATTTATTTTTCTATATAAACATGAAATTTTGTTTATACTTTTATTTGTTTATAAGTAAAACGAAAATAAGCCTAAGACTACCCTGTAAAAAATGAATTTTCTCGTTTTTTTTTACTCGCTAAGCTTTCACGTTCGTGCAAACTTTCCCTCTGTTTAAGGTTTAATCGTAGTTAAAACACATAAAAAAGAAAGCGTAGGAGGAGGAGGAGGAGAAAAGAAGGGATGTTTGTTGTCTTGACGAATCATAAAATAAAGTTTGGGAATTTGGGGTTACTATTAGAACTTTCTACACGAGACACATGTAAAAACTGGAACAATGGGTTAAATATTGAGGAGATTTACTGTTATTTGTTTCTCGATGACAATCCTCGTATATTACTGGTGTTACTGCTATTCATTGTTACAGCAACACAAAACGTGATCTACGCCAGTGTTTCACAACCCTTTTTCTACCTTGTGGTCATTTTGGTGTGAAAAGTTTGAAGTCTAAGTACAAATATAAATTCGATGTAAGAGAAAATAAAATAATGATAATAATAAACACAAAATGTAGAAGCAAATGTAAATCCTACCTAATGACTACTACTCCTGGTGTCTCCAGGCCCAGTTAAAAAATTCTCAGGCCCACTCTTGGGCCTAAGGGCGTATACTGAGTATCACTGCTTTAAGCCACGCTAATGGGGTTTTCCTAACAAAATTGTCGCCAAGGTTAATTCTGTAAGATAACGTCTTTAAGGCAGTCTTTGTAATCATAATGTTCGAGATCAAGAGATAGAAAATTATTGGTAATAATAAAATAAATTATATTAAATCTGTTCATTTATTTTATGACTGTCTCTTTTGCAAATTTCACGGAATTACATCCTCTTTTCAGCAGGTTTCATGGTAAATAGATATTTTTAAGCGTTCGATGGTCGGTTTATCATCGCAAAATTATTAATTACGCGTCTGCTTAGCAGAATTTTTTTTATTAATATGAAAAAAAGAAAAAAAAATATACTGTATATGGCTCTATCTGAAAGATATTGAGCACTGTATTCAATGATATATGATAAAATATATATTTTTTGAAGCATGCTATATTTATGAAGGGTGTGAGTGGTCAATATCAAGCACAGGGAGTATGTAAATATATCAGTAAACATGAAAGTCTGTGGCCATACGGTGTTGAGACTTATATCCATACTAATCTAAAATTGAGGAAACAAAGATCTTTACCGCGACTATTAGTTTCCCGTGTAAAGTGACCCTGAGACTGTTCAAAGATCAAATCATTGTCTATCTCACGGAAAAGGAAATAAAAAATAAATACCTATCCCGCAGGGTATATATTTATTTTGACAAAGGTTTTCTTCATTTTCTCTTTGAACCGTCTGAGGATCGCTTTGCATGTGAAACTAATACTCACGGTATATATATATATATATATATATATATATATATAAGAAAGACAGTATTCAGATATTACTGCCTTTCCGCGTTTAAAATTTCTATGTTGTATCGAATATAAAATTTTATATCTCGTCCCATTGAACTGTCTGAAGATTGTGGGACAACTATATAATATAATCTGTTTCTATCAGATGTTTACATAAAGTTTTATATAGACATCTGCTAGAAACAGATTATATTATATACAAAAATAGTAGAAAAATACAGTCTTGAGTGGCGTTTTGGAGGTAAAGTGGACCTGTCGGAGCCCAGACCAGTCCAGCACAGCCCAGCTCAGCCATCTTCAGGTCAGACCGCAGTCGATATCCCACGACTTGAAGGCAGGCTTATGAAGAGGAATCCTACAGCCTAGATATACTACCAGTTCACTGGGGGTGCCAACTTAGAGAAAAGAAGAGGTAGACAAAAGAAAAAAAAGGCTGGAAACTTCACTGAGTGGACAAGATTATTTGCAGAGATTCAGACACTGGCACGCAACTGAGACATCTGGCGGAAGGTGGTCAGGTGATCAGGAATCCTATATCCACACCCTGTCATAAGGATGATGATGATGATGAATTTATTTCAGTGTTTAAATAATATTTTGAAAGTAATTATTTTAAGTCTATGAGTATGAAATTAGCATAAATACTATAATAGGTTTCAAATTACTATAGACTAATGATACACTACATCGGGTAGCAAGGCCTCTGGCCGGGAGGTTTTGAAGAGCGTGGACCACCTCTTAATTGCTGTTATTCCCAGGTTCGCTCTGACCCGGGGTGTGATAGCACCTGTTAGGGTCCCAGTTATGGGCAAATAGTTAACCCCCAAACTGGGGTCAAAACACTGTGAAAGTATAAAAATACATTTCTATAGTAAACATTTCCATCCACAGATTTTAATAGTAAAAAGAATTACCAAAGCTCCCAAGGAAATTAAATTTCGGCATTAAATGACCCATAAGGTGTTGATATGCCGTTAAACAAACCAAAGGAAACTATAGACTAATGAAAATTCTTGTTCTAACAAATATAACGAGAACATTAGATAAGTGTTTTTTAACATGATTTTAACCTATTTTAACATGAAAGAATAATTGTGAAAAGTACCTTTTTCTGGTTGGGTTTCTTCTGGGGTGGGTTCCGTGTGATCATGGTCTGTAGTTGGTTGTTTTCCTTGTTCGCATGTGTCTTCAGCTCTGTCTGCAGGACATTCCCATGATCCATCGGAGTGACACTCGCAGTTATATTTAATGCAACCTTCCATAAAAGAGAATGGCTGACCCAATGGATACTGATTTACTTTTGCAATACAAGAAACTGGATTATTTCTGACTTCAATCGTCATTTTCCAAGATACACCTACAGAGAAGAAATTTAAAAGAAAAGTAAATTAATAAAAAGTTTCCGCTTCTTTAGCTGAAGTAGATATATAAACCTATGTTATCTACTTCTGCTGTGATCGTGAGTTCAATGCCTTCTCAGTAAAAGTGTTTATTATTATTATTATTATTATTATTATTATTATCCTCCCCCCTCCATTCATAAGGACATAAGCGATCATGACACTTCACGTCTTCATTAACTGGCATGAATTCTTGGGAAAGATAGTGGAATAGCTTCCCGTTGCCTCCTCCCCGGTTTAAAATTCAGAGTTTTCCTTTTTTTTAGACTTCTTGTCACACAAGGCCAGAAATCCTAGTCTAACCCTACTATTTATTTAAACCTAACTAATTGTAGTGATCGGGGAAGATCCTCTTGAAAGTCTGTTCCACAGGGAAGTGGTTCGCCGGAATAAGCTGTTTGAGTGGAACTTACTTTTCGTCGATAGAATACGTAGGAAATGTGAGTAGTTTTCTTCTAAGTAATATATATATAATGTAATAAAATATATAATATATACTCCGGAGTTATATTTTCCGATTTCTTTTTGAATTTATAGGTCTGACGATTTAGATTGTAATTACGATTCCAATTTAATAAATTATAACCATGAAATATTAGTGTTTAAGCCTTTTATATTATATTCTTACTCTGTCATGGACATTGAGTTCTACCTGGATTCTATTCTCTAGGGATTTTTATATATATATATATATATATATATATATATATATATATATATATATATATGACCACTAATATCTATCTATCTATCTATCTATCTATCTATCTATAGATAGATAGATAGATAGATAGATAGATAGATAGATAGATAGATCATACGAAATAGCCTGTCCATTAATAGCGCAAATATTCTCATAATCTAATAACTTGACCAGTTCTTCTTCAGATGATCTCAAATTTTAACGACATGAGTAGAAACAACACAAAATTCTATGTTTAAGAGATGGTCAAGTGGGTCTGGAAAACTTCCATAAGAATTAGGTGTCTGGGAAACCCAATTCCTTCATCAAGAGTTGGTGTGTGGCAAACTGCAGTTCGTTCAAGCATTAAAGTCAGACGACAAGCAAAAGTTAAATTAATTCTGTGTCGATATGCAAGTGAAACTTGAACAAGATGAACGTAGGAGAACTCAGGCAGAGAATCACTGCTTCATCGGAGACTGTTAACTAGGAGTTGCTGCAGCATGTTGCGCAGAAGCTGAACTATCGACTTGAAGTGTGCCGTGAAATCGTTCATGAAATCCAAATACTTTTGAATTTCTTATTCAAAGTATGATGAATAAATCTCATTTTTCTCAGTCTGTTTGTTTTTCATTTGCCTAGACAATGTATTTACTCAGATATTTGCATCTAGACGTATTGTCTCTACTTGTTTTTATATTTATCTTTTTAAGTTGTCTAATTAGATCCTTGATGTTAAGATGAAATTCATTAAGGAAGGCGCTGTAATTTTTAACGCAAGTACTTTCGATCTGAATGAAGATATACTGCCTAAATGTTTGAATGAAGATATTCTGCTTAAATATATATATTTAAAAGCAGAAGCCCTGAAGACTGCAAATTTTACCAACAAATTTCGAAGTTTGGAAAAAATTGATATTTAAAAGTTAAGTAATCTTTTCATATAATATTATTAACGCTCTATTTATGATATTATTTTAATATTTTTAATTTTGAGTACTATATATAAAAATATCTGCTGTTTCTTAAATATATATATATATATATATATATATATATATATATATATATATATACATACACGGAGATTTAGTGTAATGAATTTTGGGTCATGATTCAAATATTGTCTTATCAGATAATTTCGTGATAATAATAATAATAATAATAATAATAATAATAATAATAATAATAATAATAATAATAATAATAATAATAATAATAATAATAATAATAATAAAAATGAAAAATAATCAAAATATCAAAATAAATAAAGTACCTAAAGTCCCTGAAATTGGAAAATGTGGGGGCAAATATAAAACAAGAATAATGGACAGTCCAATAGGTGTCTGAATGACAGAAATGGAACAAAACAACAAACAAAACTAAATCTGAAGCAATTATGGTTGAATGAGAATGGTTTCTTCAGATGGAATCGTCTTCATTAAGGAGAAACTTATTTGTTTACGGGCACAACTCGCAACTTCTTCAGATGAAAAAAAAAAAAAAAAAATCCTTCTTAAAGTGTTAAGACAAATGGCAGAAAATCAAAATAAAACAAGTTTGCTCCGCTAAGAACCACAATCAAAGATGTCCAACTGTTAAGCATTCGTTAAGGCAAATTTTTCTTTTCAAATGTTTTTGAAATTTTAAAGTGAAGCGTCCTTATTATCTTTTCTATTTCCTTTCTGGATTTATTTATTTAAACTATTTACAATCAGCCTGTTGTCATAATCTTTGTTGTTTTTAACACAACGTTTCGGCCGTTGTAATCTCCAGCCTTTATAAAGTGCATATCTATCCGGGTTAAGAGTCCTAATGTAAATAGTGTAAATAATAAGCTCCTCATCCCAGATATTAATGCAAAAATTTCCGTTAATTTAATGTCGGTAAATTGAGCATTATTATGATTGTCCTTGGGAAAGATATTGGAGTAGTTTTATTTTGCCTTTTTCACAGATTTGAATTCAGTTCTATTTCTATTACATTGGTTTCCCTACCAATTCTATAGAACACTGACTTCCCTGTTATTTTAATCATATTCGGGAAATGGAGAACGGGCGTATTTGGTGCCCTTTTCCCAATGGGAATAATTTGAAATGAACATAACACCCTGGGGTGTAATTGAAACGCAGATTTTATGCTCTGATCCCCATTCATTACTACACTTTTGATTATTTTATTCGTTTTACTTTTATTATTATTCTTATAATTTCTACTTTTATTATTATTCTCATAATTTTTACTTTTATTATTATTCTTATAAATTCACCTTTTTATTATTCTTATAATTTCTAGTTTCATTACTATTCTTATAATTTTTACTTTTATTATTATTCTTATAATTTCTGTACTTTTATTATTATTCTCATAATTTCTACTTTAATTACTATTCTTATGATTTTTACATTTATTACTATTCTTATAATATTTACTTTTATTATTATTCTTATAATTTCTACTTTTATTATTATTCTCATAATTTCTGGTTTTCTTATTATTCTCATAATTTTGGACTTTTATCATTATTCTTATAATTTCTACTTTTATTATTATTCTCATAATTTCTACTTTAATTACTATTCTTATGATTTTTACATTTATTACTATTCTTATAATATTTACTTTTATTATTATTCTTATAATTTCTACTTTTATTACACAAAGAATAATTTCTGGTTTTCTTATTATTCTCATAATTTCTACTTTTATTATTATTTTCATAATTTCTACTTTTATTACTATTCTTATAATTTTTACTTTTATTATTATTCGTACAAATTCTACTTTTTCATTATTATTCTCATAATTTTTACTTTTATTATTATTCTTATAATTTCTAGTTTTATTACTATCATATAATTTTTACTTTTATTATTATTCTTATAATTTTTTACATTTATTATTATTCTCATAATTTCTGGTTTTCTTAGTATTCTCATAATTTTTACTTTTATTATTATTATTCTCGTGATTTCTACTTTTATTATTATTCTTATAATTTTTTACATTTATTATTATTCTCATAATTTTTTTACTTTTATTGTTATTCTTATAACAAAACTTTTATTATTATTCTCATAATTTCTGGTTTTATTATTCTTATAATTTTACTTTTTTATTATTATTCTTATAATTTCTACTTTTATTACTAATCTCATAATTTCTACTTTTATTACAATTCTCATAATTTCTACTTTTATTATTATTCTCATAATTTCTACTTTTATTATTATTCTTATAATTTTCACTCTTATTATTATTCTTATAATTTCTTCGTCATTTATCTCTCATCCATTTTTTGGTTTTAATTTTTCATCTTTTCATTCCTTAATCTTGATTATGTTATTTTTTCTATTCGAGTTACATGTGATATTCATTGTAGCTTTTACTGCTGTAGAAAGTCCTCAGATGATGTGGTTTCTCTTATTTGGTACAGTTCTTTGTGATTGTGTAGCGCCAGTTCACAAGATTCCAAGCGGAATGGTGCTTGCTAAAAGCTACAGGTTTCGTTCTCTCAAAACTATTTTCGCCATTAATCTGAGAAAACGATTGTATAGCGCTGACTGTTTAGATAATTCTGAACGAGATTTGCCACTAGACATGACATCCATATAAAAGTCCCCAATGTTTATAAACATTCCTCTACTAACACAAGGCTTAAGGCCATATCATGTTGAAATATCTATCTACCTACAATCACCGAAATAAAGCAACGTCGACTCTGCTCAGCATCTGGATAGGTGACCGCTTGAGAGTCTCAAGTAGTGTAATCTTGGCTGTGCGGATGGTGTACTGGATAATGACTTGGAATTGTTAATCGGGGAGCCGAGTTCAAATTCCAGTCGAATTCATAATATTTATTTAAGCGCAAATACCGTTGGGAAAGGTACGAATCCACCTCTTCTCTCTAGTAGGAATTATATCAGAAAACCATTATTGTCTTGAAAAATTCTTTTTATCTGTAAAAGGTTGATAAACCGTCAAAAATAAATCAATCAGTCATTGAATGTACATAAAAGAAATTTCGGTTATTTTTCTCAGTGTTAAAAATTGAAAAGACAATCCAGAAATGTACTCACTTTTTGCAGTTAAGCGTTCTTGTCTTGTTTGAGTCGTGTCTATTCTTTCATGTTCACGGCGGCATGTGTCCTCCGCCATATCACCTGGACATTCCCACGATCCATTGTAATGGCATTCACAATTATATCTGATACATCCGTCCATGAAAGTGAACGGAAGGCCCAGAGGGTATTCGTTTCCTCTGGCGACACAGGATCTTGCATTATCACTGACAACGATGGTCATTTTTTTACTGGGACCTGAAAATAAAAAATACTCCCGACTAATTGCATGCAAATGTATTATAATATATGATTATATATTATATCATAATATATTAATAAATAATGAGGAAATGTAAATTTATTTAAGAAAAAATATTCTTATTTTTGCGTGAGAAGTTAATTAATACATTTCATATAAATCAGATTTTACTCTGGTTAATTTTGTTTACAAGAAGAAAAACTCCTATGAAATTACTACTGATTATAAAGATGTGAAAGAGAAAAGGACCATCTGCCTCTTTCCAATAACTAGATCGAAGGTATTTGTTTGGACAGAAATTTTCTTTATAAAACCTTCTTCTTAGCTTCATTGTGACGATACAATGTATGGCACAAGGCAATAAAAAAAAAATTTTTATGAAAAAAAATGCTAGAGAAGAGAATTAATTTTCAAAATTTTTCCAATCAATCAAGAGAACACAATTTAAAATCTATCTATACTATCTTCAGTATTTTCCTGAGCTGGTGAAAAGGAAAACGCTCAGCCAGCGAAATCACACTTCCTGTCTTCAATGTTTATTCAGGGTTAGGTGTTAATGGAACAAGTTTAGCGGTGAGTTGAGAAAAGAGGTTATTGTCTTATATGTGAAATATGCGTGACTCTCAAAGAACTCTTAGAAAACGTACAAATATTTAAGAACAATTAATAATTAGGATGTTTGTCTGAAACAATCACATAGAACCCAGTTTTCTTTAATGATATGAAGTCAACTTACACTTTTTAATTATAATTCTACAAGGCAATACCAACTTCTGAAAGTTTTCCACAAATTTCAATGACTTTCGAACTCCTTCCATTTATCAAAGAGATACTGTTGACACTATGTTGGTCTACCAACTTCCGAACGGCCTAATAAAATTTTACAATTTTACCATTTCATTTAAAAGTATAATTTGAGCACTTCGTAAGATTCACTAAGAGCTTTACTCTCACTACAAAGGATTTGTATTGCTTCTGTTACTACTGTTACTACTGTGGCTCCCCACATTCTTCTAAAGGAGATTTTCATTCTTTAGCTCAATTACTTTAAACTCAGAAATTATTACTTCATGTTATCATATCGGATATCCATATATAATGAATTCTTTAGTTTTTAGATACGATTAGTTCTATATATACAACATCTGTATTGTCTAAACATTGACGAGTAAATTCCATTTTTGATTGTCAAGTATTGGATTGAAACGATCTTACCTCTGACGACCTCTACTCCTGGTTGACGCTGACAGATATATTCTGAGCGTTCGGAAGGACATTCCATGATCCACCAGAATAACACTCGCAGTTAAACCGAAAGCAACCCTCAGTGAAAGAGAATGGCCGTCCGAAACGATATTGTTTACCTTCTGCTGTGCAAGGCTTTAATTTTGTACCGACATCAATGACCATTGTTTTTGTGACTGAAAGGAATTTTAAAACATCATTGAAAATATTATAGCGGAATAATCTGTAAAAATAAAAATGTTAAAATAAATAGATTTTATAAATTTCTAAATAACGATGTGTTTGGAAATAAAAAAAATATATATTCTGAAGAAACTCACTTCTTCTGAATGGTATCCGTCCTGGTTCGATCCTGGTCTGGGGTTGGTTGCCTCTCCCGATCAGTTTGACATGTATCTTCTGCACTATCACCCGGACATTCCCAGGATCCATTGTAATGGCATTCACACTTATATTTGATGCATCCATCCATGAACGAAAATGGTTGTCCTAACTGATATTCGTTTCCTCTGGCAACACAAGATCTCACGTTACCGCTGACAATGATGGTCATTTTCTTACTGGGACCTGAAAGTAAAAATACCCCTGTCTAATTGCATCCAAATGTATCATAATATATTAACATAATAATGCGAAAATGTAACTTTAATTAAGAAATATATTTTTATTTTTGCGTGAGAAGTTTATTAATATATTTCATATGACACAGATTTTATTTGGGTTATTTTTTTCAGAAGGAAAACTCCGATGGAATTTCGGTTGATTATAAAGATTTATGTTAAAAGAAAAGAGGCCCTTTGCATCTCTGCAGTAATTCGATCCAAGGTATTTTTTCGGACATAAATTTTCTATATAAAACCTTCTTCTTAGCTTCATTGTGACGATACAATTTATGGCACAAAGGCAATAAAAGGAAAGTTCTACAAAAAAAAAAAAAAGCTAGGAAGAGAATTAATTTTCAAAATTTTTCCAGTCAATCAAGAGAACACAACTAAAAATCTGTCTTCCTTATCTTCAGTATTTTCCCTGAGCTGGTGAAAAGGAAAACGCTCAGCCAGCGAAATCACAGTTCCTGTCTTCAATGTTAATTCGGGGTTAGGTGTTAATGGAGCAAATATGTTTAGCGGTGAGTTGAATAAAGTGGTTAGTGTTATATTGAGATATGCGTGACTAAAAAAGAACTCGGAGAAAACGTACAAATACATAAAAATAGTTAATAATTAAGGTTTTTTTCTGAAACAATCACACAAAACCGAGTTTTCTTTAATGATATGAAATCAACTGAGAATCTTCAATTATAATTCTACAAGGCAGTGTCAACTTCTGAAAGATTTTCCCAAACGCAAATAGCATTCTAACTCCTTCCTTTTATCATGAAGATGTTATTTGACACTATGTTGGTCTTCCAAATTCGAACGGCCTAATGTTGTTTTAAAAAAATATTACGATGTCTTTTAAAAGTATCATTTGAGTACTTCGTAAGTTTCACTGGCAGCTTTAATCTCTCTGCAAAGGACAAATTATTGTAAATAAACAATTTTTTTCTCTTTCAATTTCACACTGAGTCAGAATCCATTTTCATCATGTGATTAAAGACTTCTTCATTGATACTGTTTTCATATGCATATATAATGAATTCTTTAGTTTTTAGATACGATTAGTTCTGTATCTACGATAAAATTCCATCTTTATTTCCGAAACATTGATTAGTAAATTCCATTTTTGATTGTCAAGTATTCGATTGAAAAGATCTTACCTCTGACGACCTCTACTCCTGGTTGACGCTGACAGATATATTCTGAGCGTTCGGAAGGACATTCCCATGATCCACCAGAATAACACTCGCAGTTAAACCGAAAGCAACCCTCAGTGAAAGAGAATGGCCGTCCGAAACGATATTGTTTACCTTCTGCTGTGCAATGTGTAATTTGTGTACCGACATCAATGACCATTGTTTTCGTGTGAGCTGAAAGGAATTTTAAAAACATCATTGAAAATATTATAGCGGAATAATCTGTAAAAATAAAAATGTTAAAAATAAATAGATTTTTATAAATTTCTAAATAACGATGTGTTTGGAAATAAAAAAAAATATATATTCTGAAGAAACTCACTTCTTCTGAATGTGGTATCCGTCCTGGTTCGATCCTGGTCTGGGGTTGGTTGCCTCTCCCGATCAGTTTGACATGTATCTTCTGCACTATCACCCGGACATTCCCAGGATCCATTGTAATGGCATTCACACTTATATTTGATGCATCCATCCATGAACGAAAATGGTTGTCCTAACTGATATTCGTTTCCTCTGGCAACACAAGATCTCATGTTACCGCTGACAATGATGGTCATTTTCTTACTGGGACCTGAAAGTAAAAATACCCCTGTCTAATTGCATCCAAATGTATCATAATATATTAACATAATAATGCGAAAATGTAACTTTAATTAAGAAATATATTTTTATTTTTGCGTGAGAAGTTTATTAATATATTTCATATGACACAGATTTATTTGGGTTATTTTTTTCAGAAGGAAAACTCCGATGGAATTTCGGTTGATTATAAAGATTTATGTTAAAGAGAAAGAGGCCCTTTGCATCTCTGCAGTAATTCGATCCAAGGTATTTTTACGGACATAAATTTTCTATATAGAACCTTCTTCTTAGCTTCATTGTGACGATAAAATTTATGGCACAAGGAAAGTTCTACGAAAAAAAAAAAGCTAGAGAAGAGAATTAATTTACAAAATTTTTCCAGTCAATCAAGAGAACACAACTTAAAATCTATCTATCCTATCTTCAGTATTTTCCTGAGCTAGTGAAAAGGAAAACGCTCAGCCAGCGAAATCACACTTCCTGTCTTCAATGTTAATTCATGGTTAGGTGTTAATGGAGCAAATATGTTTAGCGGTGAGTTGAGTTAAGTGGTTAGTGTTATATGTGAGATATGCGTGACTATCAAAGAACTCGGAGAAAACGTACAAATACATAAAAATAGTTAATAATTAAGGTTTTTTTTTCTGAAACAATCACACAAAACCGAGTTTTCTTTAATGATATGAAATCAACTGAGAATCTTCAATTATAATTCTACAAGGCAGTGTCAACTTCTGAAAGATTTTCCCAAACGCAAATAGCATTCTAACTCCTTCCTTTTATCATGAAGATGTTGTTGACACTATGTTGGTCTTCCAAATTCCGAACGGCCTAATAAAACTTTAAAAAATATTACGATGTCTTTTAAAAGTATCATTTGAGTACTTCGTAAGTTTCACTGGCAGCTTTAATCTCTCTGCAAAGGACAAATTATTGTAAATAAACAATTTTTTTCTCTTTCAATTTCACACTGAGTCAGAATCCATTTTCATCATGTGATTAAAGACTTCTTCATTGATACTGTTTTCATATGCATATATAATGAATTCTTTAGTTTTTAGATACGATTAGTTCTATATATACAACATCTGTATTGTCTAAACATTGATTAGTAAATTCCATTTTTGATTGTCAAGTATTGGATTGAAAAGATCTTACCTCTGACGACCTCTACTCCTGGTTGACGCTGACAGATATATTCTGAGCGTTCGGAAGGACATTCCCATGATCCACCAGAATAACACTCGCAGTTAAACCGAAAGCAACCCTCAGTGAAAGAGAATGGCCGTCCGAAACGATATTGTTTACCTTCTGCTGTGCAATGTGTAATTTGTGTACCGACATCAATGACCATTGTTTTCGTGTGAGCTGAAAGGAATTTTAAAAACATCATTGAAAATATTATAGCGGAATAATCTGTAAAAATAAAAATGTTAAAAATAAATAGATTTTTATAAATTTCTAAATAACGATGTGTTTGGAAATAAAAAAAAATATATATTCTGAAGAAACTCACTTCTTCTGAATGTGGTATCCGTCCTGGTTCGATCCTGGTCTGGGGTTGGTTGCCTCTCCCGATCAGTTTGACATGTATCTTCTGCACTATCACCCGGACATTCCCAGGATCCATTGTAATGGCATTCACACTTATATTTGATGCATCCATCCATGAACGAAAATGGTTGTCCTAACTGATATTCGTTTCCTCTGGCAACACAAGATCTCATGTTACCGATGACAATGATGGTCATTTTCTTACTGGGACCTGAAAGTAAAAATACCCCTGTCTAATTGCATCCAAATGTATCATAATATATTAACATAATAATGCGAAAATGTAACTTTAATTAAGAAATATATTTTTATTTTTGCGTGAGAAGTTTATTAATATATTTCATATGACACAGATTTTATTTGGGTTATTTTTTTCAGAAGGAAAACTCCGATGGAATTTCGGTTGATTATAAAGATTTATGTTAAAGAGAAAGAGGCCCTTTGCATCTCTGCAGTTATTCGATCCAAGGTATTTTTTCGGACATAAATTTTCTATATAAAACCTTCTTCTTAGCTTCATTGTGACGATACAATTTATGGCACAAGGCAATAAAAAGGAAAGTTCTACGAAAAAAAAAAAAAAAAAAAGCTAGGGAAGAGAATTAATTTTCAAAATTTTTCCAGTCAATCAAGAGAACACAACTTAAAATCTGTCTTCCTTATCTTCAGTATTTTCCTGAGCTGGTGAAAAGGAAAACGCTCAGCCAGCGAAATCACAGTTCCTGTCTTCAATGTTAATTCGGGGTTAGGTGTTAATGGAGCAAATATGTTTAGCGGTGAGTTGAATAAAGTGGTTAGTGTTATATGTGAGATATGCGTGACTATCAAAGAACTCGGAGAAAACGTACAAATACATAAAAATAGTTAATAATTAAGGTTTTTTTTTCTGAAACAATCACACAAAACCGAGTTTTCTTTAATGATATGAAATCAACTGAGAATCTTCAATTATAATTCTACAAGGCAGTGTCAACTTCTGAAGGATTTTCCCAAACGCAAATAGCATTCTAACTCCTTCCTTTTATCATGAAGATGTTGTTGACACTATGTTGGTCTTCCAAATTCCGAACGGCCTAATAAAACTTTAAAAAATATTACGATGTCTTTTAAAAGTATCATTTGAGTACTTCGTAAGTTTCACTGGCAGCTTTAATCTCTCTGCAAAGGACAAATTATTGTAAATAAACAATTTTTTTCTCTTTCAATTTCACACTGAGTCAGAATCCATTTTCATCATGTGATTAAAGACTTCTTCATTGATACTGTTTTCATATGCATATATAATGAATTCTTTAGTTTTTAGATACGATTAGTTCTGTATCTACGATACAAATACCATCTTTATTGTCTAAACATTGATTAGTAAATTCCATTTTTGATTGTCAAGTATTGGATTGAAAAGATCTTACCTCTGACGACCTCTACTCCTGGTTGACGCTGACAGATATATTCTGAGCGTTCGGAAGGACATTCCCATGATCCACCAGAATAACACTCGCAGTTAAACCGAAAGCAACCCTCAGTGAAAGAGAATGGCCGTCCGAAACGATATTGTTTACCTTCTGCTGTGCAATGTGTAATTTGTGTACCGACATCAATGACCATTGTTTTCGTGTGAGCTGAAAGGAATTTTAAAAACATCATTGAAAATATTATAGCGGAATAATCTGTAAAAATAAAAATGTTAAAAATAAATAGATTTTTATAAATTTCTAAATAACGATGTGTTTGGAAATAAAAAAAAATATATATTCTGAAGAAACTCACTTCTTCTGAATGTGGTATCCGTCCTGGTTCGATCCTGGTCTGGGGTTGGTTGCCTCTCCCGATCAGTTTGACATGTATCTTCTGCACTATCACCCGGACATTCCCAGGATCCATTGTAATGGCATTCACACTTATATTTGATGCATCCATCCATGAACGAGAATGGTTGTCCTAACTGATATTCGTTTCCTCTGGCAACACACGATCTCACGTTATCGCTGACAATGATGGTCATTTTCTTACTGGGACCTGAAAGTAGAAATTCCCCTGTCCAATTGCATCCAAATGTATCATAATATATTAACATAATAATGCGAAAATGTAACTTAAATTAAGAAAAATATTCTTATTTTTGCATGAGAAATTAATATATTTCATATGACACAGATTTTATTTGGGTTATTTTTTTCAGAAGGAAAACTACGATGGAATTTCGGTTGATTATAAAGATTTATATTAAAGAGAAAGGGGCCCTTTGCATCTTTGCAGTAATTCGAACGAAGCTATTTGTTCGGACGGAAATATTCTTTATAAAACCTTCTTTTTAACCTGATTGTGACGATACAATGTTTTGTAAAATGTAATAAAAAGGAAAGTTCTACGAAAAAAAAAAAGCTAGAAAAGAGAATTAATGTTCAAAATTTTTCCAGTCAATCAAGAGAACACAAATTAAAATCTATATCTACTATCTTCAGTATTTTCCATGTCTAAATGCAACCAAATGTATTTTTTCTCATTACACAGCTTATCTGAACTGGTATGGAGACAACGAAACTGAGGAATCTTATTCTTAGAAGTTATAAATTTAAATTATATAGCATTTCCTGTCACAATAGTAAGTCTGATCAGTTCGACAAAGTGAAATTGGCATTCTGACCTCAAAAATACCCTTCAATCTGTAGTTAAAGTTTAGTAAGGAATGAGTGATTGTTAATTTTAACGCTCCAAAACGAAACAGCGCTTTTAATCACCTCGGAGAACCCTTTGTCCTTCCAATAGCACGGCTCTTGCTAACCTCGAGGAAAGTGTCCCATTGCGCCTTATCGGGCTAACGTTTCCCACTGACATGAAATGGAAAGATTATATTGAATCAATTTCTAGCTCTGCTACTAAGAAGATTAGTTTTCCATGTCGTGCTCGGTTATTTTTCTCGCCAAATTTTCATACACATTTATAAGTCTACCATTCGTCGATGCCTTGATTATTACTGCTACTTTGGTCTGGTAGTTCTTGTATATATTTAGAGATTCTAGCCAAAATGAAAGAAGAATCTGCAATTTTATTGGTCCTAACCTGGCATCTCGGCTTAAGTGACTTTCCCAACTCCTTAACCTAAAAGTGAATCCTAAGGAGTCTGCATCAGACTTTACAGGTTAGGCCTGGAGAATAGTTTTTTTTTTTTTTTAAATGAATAATGAGAACACACTTACCTCTAACTATTCTCTGTCCTGGTTGTAGTTGACAGATGTATTGCGAACGTTCGGAGGGACATTCCCATGAGCCATTAAAATAACACTCACAGTTGAACTGGAAGCAGCCCTCTCTGAAAGAAAATGAATGTCCCCGAGGATACTGATTGCCGTTGGCAGTGCAATGTTCCAACCTGATGCCTGTAGCCACAACACGAGTTCTTGTATCAGCTGCAAAAGAAATATAGATATTAATGTTTTAACTTTTCTTGCTTTTATCAAATCGTTTCGGCCGCGTTGAAATGCCACCGTCTTAGTCAGGTGTTTGTCAATCCTAATAACCCGTAACTTTTTAAGTACTCGTAATTCCTAATTCTTTTGCTCCCCTCCAATACTCTCCTGATTCTGTAAGGGTGGGTAGCACTCGGTGTGGCGCAGTTGTAGCTCAGTGGTCATGGGATGGAGAGCGCAGGCGTCGCTTTGTCTTCTTCGGGGTGTCATGTCACTTCCACCTGTCTAACGATGGTAAATTTTCATGCACACACACACACACGCCTATATATATATATATATATATATATATATATATATATATATATATATATATATATAAAAAGGCTTAAACACTAATATTCCATGGACATAATTTATTCCATTGGAATCGTAAATACGATCCAATTCATCAGACCTACAAATTCAAAAACAAAACAGAAAAAACAACTCCGGAAATAAAAACAAAATTTAGAGAGAGTGTAAGTATGAGGAGGAGGGAGATTAAACCTTAACAGAGAGAATTTTAGGAGAGGTGGGTGGAAGGGGTTTAAGTAAGAGAAATATGAATGTTGTCGGATGTCTAATGCATAAAGATACATTTCGTGGTGACATACACACACCATAGACGATTTAATGTCAGAATAAGAGGGAGGGAAAGACGAGGTGGAGGAGAGAGATGGGGCGAAGGAAGGTAAAATTGCATTTATTGAAAGGGCCGCTGAGGAATTGAGAAAATTTGACAAATTCAATATCGACTACAGGTTTATAAACATATAAAAAATATAACGACTATCTAATCTAGCAAGGACCTATATTTCTATGTTCAAAAACACATGCAAATACACACATACACAATAACATATACACGTATATACATACACATAAGCGTGTACCAACATACACACATACATATACCCATGTACACACATATATAAATATATCCACATATCCACACTATATCTATATACACACACTTTTCACATATATATACATACATACACATGCACACATACATGCATATATATATATATATGCACACATACACATCCATACACATACACACACATACATACATACATATATACATACACACACACACACATATATATATATATATATATATATATATATATATACATTTACCCACATATATACATACGGACATACGCATACGTGTACATAAACATATATACTTAAAACCTTACATTTCTATACAATTACATACACCCATTTAAACAAATAAACAATGTATCCCTGTATCTATCCGTCTAATTATATATACATACTTATATACGCACATATACACCCATATACAAATATATATAAGTACATACATACCAAAATATACACACACATATATACACTCATCACCATATACATCCATCTACATATATATACATCCATCTACATATATATACATCCATCTACATATATATACATCCATATACGTATACATAAATATACATATATACACATACATGTACATCCGTACATACACATACATATACCTATATACACACACCTACATATATGCACATATACACACATACACACACAGCTAAGTACACACACACACACACACACACACACACATATATATATATATATATATATATATATATATATATATATATACACACATACACACACACACATATATATATATATAAATTAATATTTAAAATCTAAATAAGTAACATTTCAAACAATTGGGCGCATAAAAAAAAACAGGTAAAAAATAAATAAATACATACATAGCGCATCACATAAACATACACAATAATACATATAGAGATAAACATAATAAACATAATGCCCGATGTTATTGAACCAAGATGGAACTGGCATAAGTGACAACATGTTACAAAACGGTGTTCATGTTTTGAAACGTTTCTTAGATTAGATAATCGTTTTATTTTTTAGATGTTTATATTTGATTTGTAACCTGTAGTCGATATTAAATTTCTCAAATTTTCTCAATTACACAGCGGCCCTTTCAATAAATGCAATTTTACTTTCCTTCGCCCCATCTCTCTCCCCCACCTCGTCTTTCCCTCCCTCTTATTCTGTCATTAAATCGTCTATAGTGTGTGTATATCACCACGAAATCTTTATGCATTAGACATCCGACAACATTCATATTTCTCTTACTTAAACCCCTTCCACTCACCTCTCCTAAAATTCTCTCGGTTAAGGTTTAATCTCCCTCCTTCTCTAGACTCTCTCTAAATTCTGTTTTTATTTCCGGAGTTGTTTTTTCTGTTTTGTTTTTGAATTTGTAGGTCTGATGAATTGGATCGTATTTACGATTCCAATGGAATAAATTATGACCACGGAATATTAGTGTTTAAGCCTTTTTATTATATCCTTACTCTGTCCTGGACATTGAGTTCTACCTGGATTCTATCCTCTCGGAATTTTAAATTCAAAAAATATACATATATGCACCTATGTATATATATCTATATATTTTGCATATGTATGTGTATATTTACCACTAATATTATCTATCTATCTATCTATCTATATATATATATATATATATATATATATATATGTATGTATATTCAGTTGTATGGATATGAGTTTGTGATACTGGGTTTCACCTTTTTTGCGATTATTAGAAAAAAGATGATCTCATCATCGCAAAAGCGTGAAACCCAGGGTCACAGAGTCATATCCATACAACTGAATATATTAGTTCTATCACTGGACATGGAAAATAATACGCACACACACACACGCACATAAACATACACACACATACATACACACACACATTAATCTTGTTTTCAAGTCAATAAACACTGCATTTATCATCATTTAAAAAGTGTAAATATTTTTATACACTATATATATTTATATATATATATATATATATATATATATATATATATATATATATATATATATATATATATATATATATATTATTAGTATTTCTCAGTCTTGTTATTATGTAAACTACATCCGGCAGCAAGGCTTCTGATCGAGAGATTGGAGGTTTTGAGGAGCATGGAACCACCTCTTAACTGCTGTTGTTCCCAGGTCTACCTTCAACCGGAGTGGTAGCACCTGTTAGGGTCCTAGCTATTGGCAAATAGTGACCCCCACCCAAACAAAAATCAACAGTACATTTTTATAATAAAATTATCAACAATACATTTTTATAGCAAAATGACAATCAATGCAACCCTAAAAAAATATAAAAATACATTTTTATAGTAAAATTTCCAACAATAGATTTTATGATCTACAATCAATATATATATATATATATATATATAAAGAAACATAACTTTACCCTGAAAGTATAAAATTATGTAGAAAATATCTGTAGTTGAAAGCCTAAAATTTCCTACAAAATATTTAGATTTAGGCATTAAATAACCCATAGAGGTGTTGATAAGCCGATAAACAAAATCTACCAAATGTAATTATCAGTTAAATTAATGTAATATCTTTCTATTCATGGAAATATATTGTGGCTATTTTTTATGAATAAAACTTTTCTCTATTAATGTATTGGTGAGTTTCACCTACAGTTTACAACATATGTTTATGCAACAAATTTATTATAATTTTCATTTCGATGTATTATTATATCTTTCAAGTTCAAATTTTGATTAGTGCATATTATAACGGAGATTATCAATTTTCGGAAATCCGTGAAGACTAACGCAAGGTTAAGAGAATTTAGAACTGAGATCTTAATTTAATCAACGGTAGTAGTTTGTTCTCTTTCCGCCTGTCCATATCTACTCAGTTATTGATCGCCCTGTTTCCACTGAAATTAACTCTATACTACCCTCTACCCTGGTATTGAACTCATAATAATTATGACACTAAATTTACGTACTAACGCTTTAATGCACGAGGCTATTATTCCATTTTCTTTTTGCTTATTATTTGATTCAGTTTTTTTTTTAGCTTCTTTCGCTATTCCATTGCGACTTTGAATCACATTTTACACGTGGCCTAGTGAATTTAGTTAAAAGACACCTGGTTTCTTAATAGCTGCGAGTTCAATCCCTGGGCCGGGTAGACGTGAGGAAGAGCCGTCTACTCTGCTTCAATGGAAGATAAGAACAAGTGGCACAAATGCAAATACTCCGGAGAGTATTAATTAATGCGAAATTTCCCCTAAGGATAAAAAAAGATAAAATGAGAACAGTTTTCCTCTGTGAATTGAATAAAGAGTTCACTTCAAAATTTAGACAGCTGAAGAAGGCCGGAGGGTGCGACAGCCGAAAATTTGTTAGTATTACAAATAAGATAAACATGGTAGTCCCTATAGGTAGGTATTTCTAAATAAGTGATGGGTTTTTATTTATTAATCCGACAGATGTTATTACTTAAAGTTATTTTTAATAGATACCCATATTTGAGAAGAAGTTCCGTTTATTTATTAAACAGAATTTTTACTTCTTTTCATCTACCAGCCTGAATGTTCGAGAAATCCTATTAAAGGAAAAGAGGCTACTAGAGAGTGCATATTTTCTATCATAAGATTTATTGACCATTCAGACCTGTAAACGAAAATATATAAAGTTTAATAAACGAAGCGTCTACTCAATTATGGTTATCCAGTTAAAATAATGTTTAAGTAATAAAATAGATAACAAGTTGTCTTATATTTTCATATTTGACGTCCTTTTTTCTGGATGTATTTTGCACTTCACTGACTGGATATTAACAGAATCCAGCTAAGAAAAAGTTGTAACAGAAACAAACTACCGTGATGGTAAATGTGTATCCGTCGGAAACCAGCCTTTCTTTTGCCAAACCAACGATCATAATTTTACTCTATCCCGTATATAATTAATACCCGTGATAACCAGTGGTAACACAAATGAAAATCCTACCCGTGATAACACAATTAATAATCCTACCAGTGGTAACACAAATGAAAATCCTTTCCGTGATAACACAGTTAATAATCTTACCAGTGGTAACACAAATGAAAATCCTACCTGTGATAACACAACTAATAAAAACAAGTAACCATGAAATTTGCCGGTGTTCCAATAGCTAAACCAATTTATGCAACTTTCAAGGTTGTCAATGAATGTAAAAGCTTCTTATTGTTACCACTGCCTGGATAATAAGTAGTTAAAGGAAAATAATTTACACAAATGCTTACCCACTTTCTTCTTCATTAATAATAGTGGTGGACCAGTGACGAAAATTGTTGTATAGTGCAGGGCTGGTGATTTGTGCTTTTCCCAACGATATTAGTGCAATAGGAACATTAAATACCTCAGGTAAATATCGGGCAAAGTTTTCCGATTTTAGCTAATAAAAACGTATATATTATTTTATAACATCAAAACAATGGGAGGAGGAGGAGGAGGAGGAAGAAGGAGGAAGGATATTATGAAAAAAATACAAATATAAAAATACTCTCCACACCTCAGACGGGGACAATTTTTTTAAATTTGTATACAAAATTAGGGGGAGAAATTACCAGAAACAACCAGCGCTCCGAATTACAAACAAATATCATTGAGAGCTAGTATCCACGTTTTCTGATTACAGAGGGAACGTTGCTTCGATTTAATATACAGAGTGACGAGCACTTTCAAATGGTAATCTGAATGTGCTCCGCTGACGACTAAAAAAAAAAACATCTCAGACGAAAGACGATGTCTAAATTGAGTTAATCACGAGATGTTCTGCAATCGCAGACCTGGATGAATTGACAAAAGACGATGCAAATGGCCATACTACCTTCTGAAGAACTATGAATGAGAACTGGTTAGTTTCTTTTTTGTTATTTTATTTCTTATAAGTTTCCAATTTACTATTTTACGGTATATATGTATTGCAATTTTTCCTCTATATTTGTAAGTATTATATATTAATATAGACTTTTTTATATGACTGTTTTAAAGCTATAATAACGTTTTATTTCTATGTTGATAATAAGGCTTCAATCTGGCACATTAATAGCTACTTCATGATCTTCAGAAGAATCAAATTAGATAGCATATAAAACCCACTTTTCCCCCAATTATAAAGTCAATGGATTAGTAATAAATGCCCCAAAGAAAACTTATTTTGTACTGAGCTCTAATGGTAACATAGATGAAGTTCCAGTGAAATTTCAAGTATAATACAACTTTTTAAACATTTTTATACATCATTTTGCAGTTGAAATGGCTGCTAGATGTAACCGTAAGTTCTATGCTAACAGTTTCTTCTATCGCACTTCTCGCTTGTGGAACTGTCTTCCGGCTTCTTGCTTCCCTGTCAACTTTGATCTCCAAAACTTTAAATGTAATCTCAACCGTTATCGTATGCCTTCTTATTTCTTATTCTTATATTGTTTTATCCCCTTAATAGTATGTTTTTATAGTATACTCTAACACTGAGTAACCTCTTTCATCTTAGTGGCTTTATTGCCTTGCTGGGGGGGGAATGTTTAAAGACAAAACATTAATGCCCACTATCCCCCAAAATGGAACTTTTTAATAACGTTTTCTTCTCTCATATTCTCCCACACGCATTAATCCCTTACGTCTTAGTGGCCTTATTGCCTTGCGGGGGGGGGGATGAAGTGATTAAAAATTAATTTGTAAATGAATCTAGTTATTTGTATCTTTTTGGAAAATTCATCAAACACTCTCCACGCTCTACTTTCATCTTCTTTAAAAGGACTTTATACGTGAATGAAAATCAAATTATTCCACCTATTTTCACCCTGAGAACAGGAAGAAGCATTTAACCTCATTATTTTTTTTCTTACTTCTGTTTTCGCTCTCACAATGGTAAACCATGAAATTTCTTTCACTCAGATCTTTCATGTTCACTCTGCCTGTATATAGGAACAGGCACAGGCGGGTTGTATACAGAATCGGGATCCTTTTCGGTTTACAATACTAAATATCGCTTGTTTATAGTTTATTCTAAGAAATAAATGAATTAAAGATTTCACAGTTTATCACGAATGCAATGAGAATAATTAAAATTATCAATAATTCATTTTGTATAATACAGAATATGTTTATCCTGGAAAATATGTAATGATCCGTGTAATTGCATACATGGATCATTCGCCATTTGTATAAACCCTTGCTTGATACCCTTATTTAATATTTACGAATCTGTAATTTATACGGAGTTTTTATAAACATAGAATTACTATTGAATACTTTTAGAAACTTATAATATCGATGTCATAAGGGATCGAAAGATAGCGAAAAGAAAGGATTAAACATTATTTGTAAGAAGTCAGAATGTGATGTTGTCATCAAAAGGAACATCCCAAGATACAAATAACAAATTGGAGATACCAAAATGAAGCAAGTACAAAAATGTAAATATCTGGTTTAACAGGGGATACAATGTGCGACACCGAAGACTGAATTCACACTGGGATAGCGGAAGATGATTTCTCAAAGCCAAGCATACTATTAAGAAATAGGAAAAATTAATTAGAAACAAAAAGAATAATGTATGTAATATCAGGCCTCCTATATGGTAGTGAATGTTAAACAATCTCCTCACAGGTGAAGAATAGAATTGAAGCAAGATATATGGTTCTATAGAAGGATGTTGAGAATACCAGGGACTGAACATGTGAGAAAGGAGGAAGTTTTAGAGAAAATGAAAGCATAAATACATACTTGACATCAGAAAGAGACAGTTAACATTTCTAGGTTATATAATAAGAAAAGAGGGCTTGAAAAATAAAATATTCACAGGACATATTGAAGAGGGAGAGAGAGGAAAGCAGTGAATAACCTACCTAATGAGCTTGTGTAAATGGTTGGCAGAACAGGGATTAGGAAAGATAGCAAAAAGACATTTTCTAAGAGCTACAAAGGATAAGTAAGAGGGCCGTGATTGCCAACGTTCTGAATGAATGTTTAATGTAATTTAATGTAATGCCGGATTTAGCTGTGACCATTAATATGTTAATGGTCCTTGCTAAAATGAAAGCCATCTTTAAAATCCGTGTATGTCATAGATCATTAAATAGGTTTTAAAAAGGAATTTACTTACTTAGTACTCTGCTGACTCCACTATCTATTTTTTCCCGCTCAGGTTGGCACTTGTTCTCGGCTCTGTCGGCTGGACATTGCCACGAGCCATCACGGTCGCAGATGCAATTGTAAAGGATGCAACCATCGACATAATTGAAGCGGCTCTTCAGTGGGAACTCCTGGCCGTTGACGGTGCAACTTTGCAGGTTGTTAGCAACAATCACCTTCATTTTTTGGGTGTAGGCTGAAAAAGAAGGGTTTTAAATATTTATTTTATCAGACGATATTTAACATAAAATTCGCCATGTAAAAATAAAATCAATGACAGGGAATTTATTATTGAGACTAAATATTATCATAAACCTTTGTTATTCAGTTAAATGTATTTTGCAGCGATACACACAAAAGGATGCTGAAAGGTTCTCAGCCCAAACCACTTCCCCAAATCGGACCAAACGGGTAATTCTTAGAATCTTTTTATCCCTTCTTGATTGAACAGACAAATTTTCAGCATCTTTTGTATCAGTAATTATTACATTTATTCTTGACCACTGACAATCCCTTTCTTTCTGATTTGCATTTCTATTGTAAAATCATTAGCAATGTATTTAATGGTTTATTTGGTTAAGAATAGTTGCATTAATTCCTGACTGCTGACAATTCTTTGGCGGATTATTTTAGTGCGCAAGGAATGAAACATTTAAACAAATTAGATCTGAAATATTGAAATCATTGAAAAGTAGATCTATATTTCTTTTTTTACTGTTTTTTTTTATCAATGTTTCCTTATGTTTCATACTGTTTTATTATAAATATTTCAATATGAATGCAACGTCTTGTATTACAGTTATAAATGAGCACAGTTGCCACACTTCTAAATGAGCATAGGTACCTCACTTCTAAATGAGCGTAGGTACCTCACTTCTAAATGAGCATAAGTACCACACTTCTAAATGAGCGTAGGTACCTCACTTCTAAATGAGCGTAGGTATCTCACTTCTAATTGAGCATAAGTACCACACTTCTAAATGAGCGTAGGTACCTCACTTCTAAATGAGCACAGTTACCACGCTTCTAAATAACCAAAATGGCTTTTAAATAAAAATGAAATAATCTTTTTAGATTTCTTTTGCTCAATCCGGTTGAATATTTATATATGGATTCTAGTTTCCTGGTTTAGAGTGTAGTATCTGCGCTCTTTATGTAAGATGTTGCATGCATACAATATGTTTATACTTTGTCAAAGAGTATAAAAACATTAAACAATTATTAAATAAAGATTAAATGCATATTAGAACTGAAAGTATAAAGGAATTGATTATATTTCAAATCAGTTTATTTAAGATTTCAAATTTTCAACTGACTTCAATCACTGTTAAGAATCAATTTCCGTTCTGTTAAAAATTCAAGTGATGATTCACTTTATTCCTCAAATTTTAACAAAACAACTTGTTATTATTATTATTAGCAATATCTCTACTCGAAAGATTGAAATAACAATTCAAATAAACTATGAAAAGTTTCTTCAAACTTCCAATTCTAATTGACGGAAATTAATCCGTCAATCAGAAAAAAACACTTTGATATAATAGCACCAATTTCTTTTTCTATTTAATAAAGGATTGTCAAGTGGATATTGGCTGTCCGAACACATCTAATACATACATACACACATATATATATTAATAAAGACAAAGGGAAAATTATTCTTTACCAACGCATTTCGTCCTCTGGACTTTAAATTCCATCAGAAAGACGAAACGCTTTAGTTAAGAATAGTCCTTATATATACCGTTTTTGCAGATATTTTTATGTATATTCAAATTTTGGCACCCCCCCAAACACACACACATATATATATATATATATATATATATATATATATATATATATATATATATATATATACAGTAGTGGCCATAATATAAGGAACGGAAACAACAAAGACATAAATATGTGTATTACTTAAAAAGTAATGCATGATTAGCAATGAAATTTTTACCGAATTTTTGCGATGTTTTTGGAGGTCTGCCGGTTTTTGGTTTTGCATCTAACGTTTTATCGGTTTTATACCTGCTAATTACACAATGAACGACACTTTTAGACCTATGAACAATATCAGAAATTTCTGAAATTGACTTTTTTTTCTTGATAGTTAGCGATAATGAGTTTTTTTTTCTTCAAAGAGAGCGTTTCGCGTGTAGAATTTGCCATATTGCTTAAAAATAAAGTCCTAATGATAAATGAACTTTTACTTATTGTTGAAAAGCTCCATTGAGTTTTTTAACAATGTAAATTAAAAGTTTATGCAAATTATTAACATCGTTCCTTAACTTTTGTCCACTAGCTTATTTCCTTTGTTACATTTAATCTTTATTTAAAAAAAATATTATGTAAATTTTTTAACTTTGTATAATATTTATGCATTACACCTTAATCTTTATTCAGTAAAAATTTCATTGCTAATCATGCATTACTTTTTAAGTAATACACATATTTATGTCTTTGTTGTTTCCGTTCCTTATATTATAACTGCTACTATATATATATATATATATATATATATATATATATATATATATATATATATATAAAAGTGAACATAGAAGTCAACACTTAGAGGCGACAGTCTGTTTCATGCTATATGCAATCGTCAGGCCACATATGCTGTTATTTTTCTCGGCTATTTATATATATACGGGTTAGTGGTGCATTGTGGGTATTCTATTATGGCGGTTATTTTACCGGAAGTCGTTTGTTTATTTATTTGGGTCAAATTATATTAATCGTTTTTATTTCTTATTTTATTTATTTATTAACGTAGTAAAAATTTGTTTATATCACTTATTTAACAGTTTTGTTTTGGTTTGAGAATTTTATTAAAGCAATTTGTTCAATTTTTGGGTTGGTTGTTGTAGTTCATTCTAACTATTATTTTGGCGGGAACAGTTTTTAATTTGGGATTGGTTTGTCTATTTATTTACTTGGATGAATTTAGGTCAATTTATTTTACTTGTATATTTTCTCTTTTCGGTTTTTGGTTTTAAGCAACATAGTATTTATTTATTTCTATTTTTTATTAGTGTATTTATTTGTTTTTATTTTATTTTTTCCGTTTTTCATTTTTTAGGTTACGTAAGTAAAAATTTATTTTCATGCCTGCATTTTGAGATGAGCTCGGATCTTTTATTTAATAATTTATTTTGGTCGGGGAAAGTAATGATAGCTATTTTTTCCTCCAAGCAAAGTTTGCAAGTTTTTGATTGGTTGTTGTAGGCTGATGACTTTTTCCTTATCTTCCAAGATATTTTTGGTGTGATGTGTGTTTTGTTTTTAATTTCCCAGATATACTTAGAAAGCATTGTACTGATTTGTGAAAGATGTTTTGTGTGTATAATTTCTTTGCTTCCAGGGTCATTCAGTTACTCCTATGTATACTTTTTCTTCATTATCTGGTGATTTTATCGTGGCTTGGTATATTACGTTGTTTTGTAAACAATTTCCGTTTAAGGGACATTCGTTCTTTATTCTGCAGTTGCACGTGAGTTTAATTTGTTCGTGTGGTTTGTTGATAATTTTCCTATTGTGCTTTTTTATTATTTGTGCCATGCTCTCAGTACAAATAAATAAACAAACGACTTCCGGTAAAATAACCGCCATAATAGAATACCCACAATGCACCACTAACCCGTATATATATAAATAGCCGAGAAAAATAACAGCATATGTGGCCTGACGATTGCATATAGCATGAAACAGACTGTCGCCTCTAAGTGTTGACTTCTATGTTCACTTTTATATTTACACACGCTCTATCTCTGATATTGAGCACTTTATTCCATAAATATAGCACACCTTAAGACTATATTTTTTATATATATATATATATATATATATATATATATATATATATATATATAATTACTCCCTAGCTCCCAAATAAATATTGTATTAACTCTACAAATGAATTTATACAAATTCTTCATGCCGTAAAACCAAACAACCAAATAATCGCATCTTTAGATGTACACAATTTATTTACTAATGTCCCCATCCATGAAACAATTGATATTATTATCCTTGATGTATACAATCACAATTTTCTCCCACCCATCAATATTAAACTCACTATTTTAAAAAAAATATTATTAGCATGTACCACTCAAGTACATTTTCATGGCCCCCTAGGTAATATTTAGACTCAAATAGACGGTATTGCAATGGGATCTTCTTTAGGGCCTCTTTTTTTTCTAATTATTCACATAGCAATATTATATGTCAACAGAACAGAATATCATCTTTGATGGTGAATATCTTTGTTTAAATGTCCATATAACCACTCTGAAGATGGCTTATTTGAACCGAAAGCTTAGATCAAGGAGTAGTTTAATAAAAAAAAAATATCCAAATGTTGGACAGTTTTTGTCTTTATTTTCACCCGAAATTAAAGCAACTATACGAAACTTAGAACGGCTCATGGTCAAAAATAATAGAATTTCGTTGTCTGTTATATTTAACAATATCTGTTTGAATATATATATATATATATATATATATATATATATATATATATATATATATATATATATAGAATAGAAATAAAAATTTCCTTCATTCGAATAGCTATTTTAACCAACAAGAAGACTTATATTGGCATTGTCAATTCAGAAGTGTGAAAGAACAAAATAGAAACTTAAAATTTAAACATTCAAAAAAGAAAAAGTAGAAAAAAAGAAAGAGAGAAAGAATACAAGAAAGGAAGCAGGAGGCATTAAGTTAGCCCAACACTCCGTATCATGGGAGGGGAGGTGGAATTATTTGTCTCAAGGAGATAGTTAATATAACCTTGACCTATATTTTAAAATATTAACATCCCAAGTCAGATTGAAAAAATCTCTTAGATTATATACCAACGGATTATTGCCTATATATATATATATATATATATATATATATATAATAAATGTAAATGGATATAGATCCGACAGAATGAAGAAAAATTTGGAAAAAACAAACAAAATCCTTAAATGCAATTATGTTGTTTAAAATGAATGAAATGTCGACGTCTGACGTTTCGGTTTAATAAACCTTTTTCAAGACAATATTCATTAAAACACAATTCAGTTCAATTTGACAAAGATGATGGACATAAACAACAAGTCTTATCCAAAACAGATAACTGAAAATTTTTAAAATGATCAGCTTTCCGTTTTCAAAGCGTCACCCATGTGGCGACAACGTGACCATGCTAAACGGAAAGCTGATCATTGTCTTGAAAAAGGTTTATTAAACCGAAACGTCAGACATCGACATTTCATTCATTTTAAACAACATAATTGCATTTAAGGATTTTTGTTTGTTTTTTCCAAATTTTTCTTCATATATATATATATATATATAAGTTTTATTAAATTCACACAACAAAGTTTGTCCATTTAATGATTGTTGAATTTTCACAATTTTCCAATAAAGTGGGTAGGGATTGAAATTGTGAATAAAATGTCTGAACTTTATGTTTGTTCTGTTTTGTTCCACCGCTTCAGTCATTATCAAGAACCATGTTCATACCAATTTCCAGTAGTGTTTATTCCCATAGTGATGACACATATTTACCTACTCTGTCATGATTTTTGTCCTCATTGTGTTTGAGTATTAAGTACCCTGAGATAAGGTGATCAATAGTTTCAATATATTGATCACTGAATCTAAATTTGGGGTCCATACTATTATGCAAGATATTAACTTGGTAGCTGTATGTAATCAGGCTCTGGTCCTGTGCAGTAAGAATAAACCATTAAGTCCTGAAATCTTTAACTACTGCTGGTATATCAGTATTTTTGCTTCATGAAGAAGCTGGCGCTATGAAACTTCAGCTTTCTTTGATAAGTTTCTGGACGAGATTTTTTTTTTTTTTTTTGCTTATTGTTTCCGTTTCTTGTTGGTTTTGTGGCAATTGTATCACAGATATTTTCAAGAATGAACTCGAAATCTCTTCTACATTTATGGCGTTCTTTTGATACAGAATAATGCATTTTACTTTTTTCATACTCCATTACGAGTTGCAACGTCCAACATCGTGTAGCTTCAAAATACTTATAAAGTCCCATTGTTGAAACCTGATAAGTCAATTCATGTTGAATCATGCACTTACACCTATTGTACCATGACAGATACGGACAGTCTACATCCGCTGAGAGTGGGGCATTCCATTGCATGTGAGATGTTTGCGAAATTTGCTTCAAATTTCTTCAGCTTCAATTTATTATACTGATGACATAAGTTACAAAGGGGGCAGCGAGAGTGTTTATATTATTATTATTATTATTATTATTATTATTATTATTTAAGCATGTCAAATATTAATAATACCAAAGCGTCATGCAAAAAAGACATTAAATCTATTAATTATTAAAATAAACAACCCGCAGTACATATATTTCACTATAGGTATATATAATATATATAATATAAACATAAAATATTTAACATTTCATTGGAATATCAACTCCACTCGTCGTTTCGACTTTCCAGCCAATAAACTTTTACGATAATAAATATATAAATTCAACAGAGTGCCTGACCGAATTACCTGGTTTGATCCTTGCTTGTCCGGTTTGTTGTGGACACACATATTCAGCACTATCTGCGGGACACTCCCATGAACCATCATTGAAGCATTGACATTTGAATTCATAGCAATTCAAAGTAAACTGGAATGGTCTCTCCAAATGGTAGCGCCGTCCGTGTGCTGTGCAGTAATTCAACTGAGTCTCACGCGTTACAACCGTGCTTCTGTAATCAACTGGAAATAGTAAGGAGAAAAGACTTTTAATGCTTAGATTAAGACAATAACTCAGCACCCATATACACACACACACACACACACACACACACACACACACACACACACACACACACACACACATATATATATATATATATATATATATATATATTAAAAGGAAGGCTGACTATAGCCTCACCTAAAAGGTATAGACAACAAAAAGTGCTCAATACTAGAAAATTCCAAGTCGAATCTGTAGGGCTTGTTTTATTAAATGAGAGAAAGGAAATTATGTTTGGGTGCAGGCACTTAAGAAAATATTTTTAGGTACCTATATAACCAGGATGAGTGATATAAAACTCAATAAGTTTTTTACCTCCCCTTATCCTCATACTTTTACCCCAAAATTTCCGGTACTCTCAGTTCTGGTGTTCTGCTATATTGGAGTAATTTTTTGCTTCTTCATCTTTCCACTTACTTGAGGAGACTTTGCGGTCGAAACCCAGGTTGCGAGGTAGGCTGGCATTTTAGACATTTCTTATGTGTGTGTGTGTGTGTGTATATATGTGTGAGTGTGTGTGTGTGTGTGTGTCTTTTCCTAATGTTCGAAAACCAACCTTTGTATTGAGAGTAAAACGTATCTAGCCCAACCGTGACACAAGTTCCACGGTGAGTTGAAATTAATACTTACTGATTTCGCGGTTCTCTCCTGGTCTTGGCTGAATAGGGTCTGGTTTCTCTTGACATATATATTCTGCCCGTGCCGCAGGACATTTCCATGATCCATCCGTCTTGCAATCACATTTGTATTTAAAACAGTCTTCGGTATAGGAGAATGGCTGACCCAGTCTGTATTGATGACCTCGAACCTGACACGCTCTCACGTTTTCACTGATGATAACAACCATTTGTTGGCTCGATGCTTTATAAGAAAAAATGCGATGACAGAATTTAAAAAGATTCAAAATAAGGAGTGATACTATTATTATTATTATTATTATATGACAACAAAATGCTTTTAGATTTTTAAGGCTTTCAGGACGTAGGAGTTCATGGCCCTCTACAGTCCTTTTTTATTATCCAGGTATTGTCACGACATTTTTTTTTTGTTGTTATCTGTGCATTGATATGACTTCTTGGGAAAGACACATGATTAGTTTTCATTTTTTTCTCCGGCTTTGAATTAAAAATCTTTTTGCTTCTCAACAGGGTGCTACTCAATGCTAGAGATCCCAGTCTATCCTACTATTTATATTTTGAGAGGAGAGGAGAAATAGTTCACCTATCGCCCGATTCACACTCTTCCCCAGTTTTTTTTTTTTTAACCCTTGTTTATCCCTTGTTCCCTTTTTAAGATTGGGTTTCAGACTTCTCCTAAATTCTTTTCATTTTGTTCATTCACAGTAGCCCCTTATGTCTTAGCGGCATTATCGCCTTTATTGGGGTGAATTGATAGAAAAAACAAATCACTAGTGCAAAAACAAAAACAACAGACTGGTCCGGATCCTGAAGTCGGATCACCTAGTTTCCTTTATATATTAAATTCGCATTTCGCCCCCTCTTTTTCATAGAGCGAATATAACCCGAGTGTTATTAATATCTCTCTATGCAGGATTGATTTTTATATGTGTTTTATCACATAATTCATAATTGATAATGTTTCTTCTGAGCTAATAAAAAACCTCTTCTTCAAAGAAGACTTTGCATTTTTGTAATCAGTTTCGATAATAGTAAATAATACTAATACATTGCCGCAGTAGGTAGTAAGTCGGGATTATCGAGTTATTGTAAACACTGTGTGATCTTGTCGATGGATTACGCCAGGGCAACACCTTATTTTGAATTCAGAGGGGTTCATTTTCTAAACATGTTGTCAAGTGCGACATGAAAGGCCAGTCTGATCTGCTATCTAACTCATAGTTGGGGTCTCCTGAAGAAGACCGGGGAGTACGAAACGTCGTGAATATGACAATAAAGATGAGGACATTGTAAATAGTTTAAATAGTTACAATATCTCATCTCTGAAATATAAACAGATATTGAAGGGTTGACATGTCGAAAAATCAACCAACACAGCCTAACCTATTTCTATAGTAAAATAATTTGAAATTCATTTCTATAGTAAAATTATTAGTGTGTTTAGCATTTACATTATGTGCATAGCAACAAATTGAAGGCAAACAACTGCAAACATCGGTGTTACATCATCAGTTTATTTATTGGTCGACATAATGATGTGTGCATAGCATAATAATTGTCGACACGGAAAATGGAATCGTTATGTCGAGTTTTAAATTCCAGTCTAGACAATTGCACTCACTTTTATACAAATGCCAATGGGAAAGGCAAGAACCCATCGCTTCTCTCAATCTATTATGGGTTAAATAACAGAGAAAATTTGACTGTCTAGTCTAAGAGAAGTATAAGTGTGAATTCGAAATTGAGGTGAAAGCAACAGAAAGCAATGGAACCATCTTCTTCAAGAAGGCATGACAATTCAGAGAGAATAAAGAAAAAAGGAAGTTGTGGAGAACCATAAATAGACATGGAATTTTAAAAATCACTATAAATATTTCGCCTTAGTGCGAAAAGTACTAAACCTAAAATAATTCAAGATTTCAATACTAAGAAAAAATATTTATTCCATTAGAAACATTTTTATTTAAACACAAATATGAAAAGTGAGAAATAGCGTAACAATATTTAACCCTTTGAGGACTAACCACCGCTTTACCAGTGGTAAAGAAAAATGACGTAATGCCCAGCCATTGGTTCAACGGTGGGTAAACACTTGAGTTGTGTTTTGTTATTGGTTGTCTTATTTTGAAGAGCCAATCAGAAAAACCGTAATATTCTGATGCCATCGAACCTTATACCAACATGTCCGCACCTTTTCATTGTGTTTTGTGCATGTGTTTAAGATACAAAAAAAAAAGAAAAAGATCGTTTTTACAATGAAACGTGCAGAGTCTCAACCTGGACCGTCAGGGGAAACAATCGGACAAAACGTACGTGTAAAGATCTCTAAACATCGCATCAAGTAATTGATATGCGTGATGATTTTTTTTATATCTACCGTGAAACATTACGTACCAATTATTTTGACTCAGGAGCTCAGGCATGAGGGTTAAAATTGTTCAGGAACGCAGGCTTCAAAGGGTTAATAAGAATAAACTAAAGATTACTTACAGCGTTCAATTAAATGTCCTGGTTTCTGGGGACATATGAACTCTGATCTGTCGGCTGGGCATTCCCATGATCCATCAGTGCGGCAATCACAACTGTACCGGAAGCACTTATCGGTAAAGGAAAATTGTTGTCCGAGAGGATATTGTTTGCCATGCGCCAGGCAGTGTTGGATTTCCGACCCGAGAGATATGATCATACTTTGACTTTCCACTGCATACAATGAACATGACATCAATGTTACATAATGTCGACATAGTAAATAAAAATGATATTAATCAAAACAAAAACAGACTTAATAAAACAATAATATTAGATAGGTCATATAAAAAGAGTTTTTATCGGTATATATATTACGAAAGAAAATAAAAACTATTTCATGTCATATTTTGTCAATAAGCTAGAATATTATTTAATAAACTGACAAACGTGTTCACCATCGCATTTCAGTGGGCAGCTATAGTTATGAAAGACAGCAACTTCGTCGAACGCAAGTTCAGAGTATCATGGAAACCGAGTGAGGGTCAAACTTATTACAGTAAAAATTAACTACGAATGTAGAATTTTAACCATTACTCTTCGGTGTAACGTCATAGCCATTTACATAGCATAGTTTGGTATGACAAAAAGACTGTGAAATGGAATCCCCCATAAGGATCGAACTCATTACAGTAATAATAAACTGTGAATATGGTTTGCTGATCATTACTCAACGGTGTGACGTTATGTTGATTTACATAACATAAATTGGATGACACAAAGGCAAAGAACTGGAATTCCCCCATGAGGCTTGAACTCACTACAGTAATAATTAACCACAAACGTAGTTTGTAACCATTGTTGTATGGCACAGCGTCAACGTTATTTACATAGCATAACATGATATGGCACAAGGTCAGAGAACTCTGTTCCTCTTTTAGGTCCGAACTCACAAAATAATAATAAACTGTGAATATAGCTTGTTAACCTTTACTCAACTGTGTGATGGCATGATTATGTCCATAACATAGATTGGTATGACGTCAAAGCAGGTAACTGTGATCCCCAATGAGGATCGAATTCAGTAAAGTAACAATTGACGACAAATGTTGTTCGATTACCATTACTTTATGGTTTAACGTCAAAGGTTATTTGCATAGCCTAAGTTGGTATGACACGAGGCCAGAGAACTGAGTTCCACTATTAGGATCGAACTAAATACAGTAATTATTAAATACGAATGTATTTTTAACCATTATTCTACGGCGTGACGTCATGATTATTTACATAGAATAGATTGGTATGACAGAAAGCCAGTGAACTGTGTTCCCAACGAGGATTGAAGACATTACAATAATAATTAACTTAATAGTAGTTTACTATTACACTCCAGTGTAGCATAAAGGTTATCTTCATTGCACAGGCTGGTATGAAAATAAGGCCCGAGTATGTTGATCCCCAAGGAAGATTAAACTTCATACAATAATAATTAGTTAGCAATATACTTGTATAACCATTACTCTAAGATGTGGCGTTAAAGTTTTTATATGGCATTGTATAGTATGGCACAAGGCAAGAGTACAAGAGTACTTCGTTATGGTCAAAGTCACTCCACTAGCAAACTGATCTATGGGAGAAGATTGAAAATAGTCTTTTTACTGCAGATTTTAATACTGAAATGTGCGTTATGAATAATTCGCATTTGGCATGAAAGCAATTTTTATAATTCTTGGTAGGAATTCTGTTTGGTGTGGCACCCACCTCGAGGATAACTGAATTCCACACTGGTCTCTTTATCGCAAATGTATTCGGCATTCTCTGCTGGACATTCCCATGATCCATCGGAGTGGCACTCACAATCATAGCGGAAACATTCGTCTGTCAGTGAAAAAGGTCGATCCAGTGGATATTCCCTTCCGTTTGCTTTGCAGCCATTGATGTCGTCCATAGCGATTACATACATCCGAATACTAGAAGCTGCAAAAATAAAGATCCTCTGAATTAGCAGAATAAATAAACAAAGTCAAGTTACCTAGCTAGACATTTTAAATGAGCACTTACACCCAAACTAAATATTCAATCGGTTGTAATATTTATTATACCTGATATTTGCGACTGGACTTTATTATTGAGTGGTTAAAGCAAGCAAAACCTTTGTAAATCTGGACGACCATATCTGTAAACTTATCATTCTACGAAGCTGTCGTGCACAGATGTTATTTTAGTACCGAATCTTATACCATCAACCGCCATTACGTGTGCTGATTTGAATTCACCAGTGCAATACTTTGTAAAACGTAAATTTATGAGCAAGTGGCACTTTTCTGAGATTTCATTATTTGTCAAGAAACCTTTTTAATAAATAAATTCAGTTATCGATGAAATAGGAAAGGAACGTATTTTGTTTATTTCAGTAATTGAATTTTCATAGAATATTTTTAACAAGTGTATCAAACGTTCATATTCTAGTTATTAATTTTTGTGATTTTTTAACTGAAAAAACTCAAACCGTTGAAATAAAAATCGTTTCTATATATTTGATAATATATATATATATATATATATATATATATATATATATATAGATAGATAGATAGATAGATAGATAGATCATAATGTTTCTTCATTTCTTCCTAATGTTATAAAGTTTTTGAAAATAGATTTAAATTTTATGTTTCATAATGAAAAATTGCACAAAGATCTAGAAGAATAGCCAATGTTTATATATAAAAAGGAATTAGACATGTAATTATATATAATTATATATAAGTGCGAATTAGAAATGTAATTTGCGGAGAGTAAAATCAAACATAACTAATATAATTCAAATTAACAATACTTCACATTTTATTTTCTTTGACTAAGACCAATAATTTCTATCGTTTTTTTTTTTAAATCAATTTGTCCTAAGCAAGACAATAGTGTTCCTAAGAAGGAATGGGGTTACTTAGAGGGAAAGAAAATCGCCAGACGAGAATTTCGAGACGTATAGCGGGAGCCACAGACTTGATATGGAAGTAATATGCAATGCATGGATGAATGGTAGATTTATAAAAAAGTGCAAGATGAATTCTGGTGAGAAAAATTATCTGGCACAACACAGTGAACCAAGTTTTGTAGCATCAAACCTAGCATTTGATTCAATAAAATCATTCTATTTCATGTCAATGGAAAACGTGAGATTAAAAAGTCGTAATGAATTGTTCTTCTGGAGATCAGTATCAGCCATACTGATGAGAGACAAAAATAGTTCTCTATGTTGATTAAAAGATAGTTTTGGAGACATTAAAATTTACAAGGTATGTCTTGCCCCAGATAACAACTGATTTAAGATAATATTCGAGATCAGCTATCAGTTTTTCTTTGTCAGACTTACTACTAAGATGTAAATAGTTGTGGCATCAGCAAAACTTCCGAGGTGAGAAACGATGACATCGAAAAGATCATTAATGAAAGTAAGTCCAAGAATACAGACTCGTTGACGCCCTCCCCTCCGATTAATGTGAAAGGATCTAGAAAGGATCTTCAACATCTCTCTCTCTCTCTCTCTCTCTCTCTCTCTCTAAATTTACATAATACAGAGAATGTTATACTGTCAATTATACTTGCTGTAACTGTTGCCTGTGACAAAAAATTATCCCAGTTTCTAATGCGCAAATTGTGAAATTATAGGCAAAGAATATGAAATTTGGTGACCAGATCAACAAATTCTAGACAACAAATGTGAACTTTGGTAGCCAAATCATCTAATTCTAAACAAAATTGTGAAGTTTGGTGGCTAAATCATCAAATTCTAAGCAACAAGAGTTAAAACATCACATTTTAAGAAAAAAAATTAATTTTGGTGGCAAAATCAACAAATTATGTATTAAACGATATTCTTACCATTTTCATGTGCATTGATTTGTTTCTGTGAATGTCTATCACTATTTATCCGAATGACGTGCGAATAGAATGTAGTATGCTTGTTTGCTCCTGCCTTTTGAGAGCAGTCCTCTTCCTGGACAAGTGCATTCTATCACAGAGAGAATACTTTGAAGTTGATAGTCGGAATTAAGCGCTTTATTCTTTTTGCAAAGTAAAACTACGCGAAATTGTGGGTTACACGTCACATTGCAATTAGACAACGCCTAGCAAGAATATGCCACTTTCTTGTGATGACAAAAAATTTACGTTTTGCACCCATTAGTTAAGTTCCTAAACGTAAAATTCTCCATGTGATTTCTCGTAGAATATAGTTAAGCGTATATATATATATATATATATACATACATACATATATATATATATATATATATATATATATATATATATATATATATATATATATATATTACATATATATATATATATTGTATATATATATATATATATATATATATATATATATATATATATATATATAAAGTGAACATTAAAGTCAACACTTAGAGGCGACCGTCTGTTTCATGCTAGACGCAATCGTCAGACCACAAGTGCTGTTTTTTGGGGGGTTTTTTTCAGCTATTTATATACGGGTCAGTGGTGCATTGTGGGTAGTTTATTTTGGCGGTTATTTTGCTGGAAGTCGTTTATTTTTTTTTTTATTATTTATTTTGGTTAAATTATTTTGCTTACTTTTATTTATTTTAACTTTTTATTTTTTATTTTTTATTTCTTATATATATATTTATTTATTTTTATTTTATTCGGTGTTTTATTAACGTAGTAAAAATTGTTTGTATCGCTTATTTAATAGTTTTGTTTAGGTTTGGGAAGATAATTTAAGCTATTTATTCAATTCTGGGATTGATTGCTGTAGTTTAGCGGGATTAGTTTTTAATTTGTTTATTACTTCATTTATTTATTTGGATTGGTTATTTTTACTTGTTTTTTCTAAAGATTTATTTATCGGGATCTCCAAGTAAAGATAATCAATCCAAATAAATAAATAAATGAAATAAAAAAATGTATGTGCTGTGTCAAGATGTATGATATCCTTAAAGTAAGTGAAAAATTTATCATATTTGATTAAGAAATCTTACCTAGTAAAACACGTTAGATAATAAACAAAGCAGTTAAGATTGTTTTCACAATAATTGTAATGAATCGTAGCTAAATATTATATAAAATATTCTTACCTTTTCTTACTTGCTGCTGAGGGCAGATATATTTTGATTCGTCGGATGGGCATTCCCAGGATCCATCCGAGTAACAGAAACAGTTATAACGGAAGCAATCTTGCGTAATGGTGAAGGAGCTCCCAAGGTAAAACAGCCTTTGTTGCGCCTTGCAAAATTTTATCTCTTCACCCAAAGCGACGACCATGCTTTTGCTGTAAACTGAAAAGAAAAGCAACCAATCACTGCCAACTCTCATCAAAATCATACAGCATTTTCAATCGAGTTTTCAGCATTAATAACTAACTCGTAGTAGCTTTAAAAATATCACGGTTTTGATATTTGAATTTTTTTTTCGCGCCCGCCTTGAGATGTTCGTCGCCGCCAGCGGTGGTTACATTGAAAAATAATGTAGTATGTACCCCTAACTGTTGCTAAATAAACTGTCGGGTATCTGCATATACAACTTTTGTTTTTATTGTCTATTTCGTATTTTTTTTGTCAAGCGTCGAATTTTGCTGCAACATCCTGTATATAGATATATATATATAAACACAAAAGGAAAACTTATCTTAGCCGACGCGTTTCGTCCTCTGTGGGACTTTATCAAGGTAAATACAAGGATTTTATTTTGAAACTTTTGCATTTACCTTGATAAAGTCCCCCAAGAACGAAAAGGTGTCTTTTGTCTTTCTTATTCATATTGTCATTTTACAGACATACTCTATCTGAAATTGTTATATATATATATATATATATATATATATATATATATATATATATATATATATATATAGTGTGTGTGTGTTTGCACGCGCACACATATACACATACGTGCATGCTTCTCCATCAATTGAAATTCAATTTTACTTACTGCGATATTGCATAGTGTCAAGAGACATATCTGTCGTGCAGGTATAACGTGCCTTCTCAGGTGGACATTCCCATGACCCATCGGAATTACACTGACATTGATAACGATAGCATCCATCATCAAGGTAGAAAGACTGTCCCAGTGACTGTTGGCTACCTTTCACGTCACATCCTCTGACGTCATCACTGATTGTAACATACATCATCCGGGTGATTGCTATGTAACAAAAAAGAAAAAAAACAAAGAAAAATAATCATTGATATTATGAAATTAGCATTGGCAAATACAGTAATCATCAATAGTACTTAGATCACGACTGTGCTCTCCTATCGACCATTGCCCGTATCTTCTCATTCTATCCCTAATCCCATCCCATGAAACTAACATTATCCATTATCCTATGATTCTACTATTCTCTTATTCTTTGCATGTATCTTTTCATGCTCTCCCTAATCTCTTCCAATACAACGAAGATTATTCGTTATCACATGCCTCCACTTCTCTCTCTCTCTCTTTTCCGGTATCATCTTATTCTCTTCTTTATCCTTTTACCAATTCTGCCTTTATGAGTTATACAAACGTAGATTAGTTTCCATGTGCAAAATGTAGTATTTGTCCAATTCCTGGCCCTTTTGAATTGGAATCAGTTATACTTTCCGACGGAGAAATCTACATACTAAGAAGAAGGAAACCAGAGGTGAAGTAGATTATAAAAGAGGGTGTGAATGGGGGAAAGGTATGAGGTAATACAGACTAGCGGAAAATGAAAAGAAAAACAGGTGAAATAAAAAAAAAAATAAACACACACATATTATAAATTAACTGATTTAAAAGTATGGTTCCATCGCTACACAGGAATTACCATGTTTCAAAAACAGAAACTAACAACTTCAAATTTAATATATAATTAAATTAAAATCACTAGTTCTGTTTCATTTACAAGCGAATTTTGGTATATATATATATATATATATATATGTGTGTGTGTGTGTGTGTGTGTGTGTGTGTGTGTTTGGGATCGAAATACATAAATATTGTGATATATTAAAAAAAATTATGGTGGGACAGAATTAAACAATAATAGAAAAGTAGAATCATAGGATAATAGATAATCTAAGTACTTGGGTTAACAAAAACTAGGGCGCCTTCCTTGATAAATTTGAACTCAACATCAAGAAGATAATTAGAGAACTAGAAAGGATTATTATAAAAATAAACAGGCTTAATACGTCTATATTATTCAATGATATATGCTTGAATGAAGATATGCTGCCTAAAATATATATATATATATGTGCTTTTGTGTGTTTGTGTGTGTGTGTGTGTGTGTGTGTATGTGTGTGTGAAGCATCTGTGACAGTAAAGTAAATTTTGTTTACCTTCATCCACTTCATGGCTTCCTTGTGCTGGGCAGATAAACTTAGCGCGCTCCGCTGGGCAGTCCCATGAGCCATTTGAATGGCAACTGCACAGGTATTGGTAGCAGCCGATATTCAGTGAGAAAGGAAGATTCAGAGGAAAACGTCTTCTTTCAGCAACACAGTAATTGGCTCTTGCAGACACCACCATACCACTGAAGTGCACTGTAGAAGAAAAAGAATATAGTTAAAGTATTTCAACAAAGAATTACCACCCACCCGCAATTGAATCATCCTCTGAACATTCAATATTTCTTTGGTTGTCGCAGATTTGTAAAATCTGGAAAAGCTTTAGATTTTTTTAAACAGTATCTGATATTTTTTTTCTACGACTTCATTTTTATGTCCATTTTGTATTTTCTCTATTTTTGTTAATGAAACAATAATCTACACTGTCAGATTTTATTAAGCAAATTAATATTTTCACAAGAAAATTGGTTGACTAATATTTTAATGGTTTCTCATTTATATGGAAAACTAGCAGGTTTTGTCCGCTCGCTATCTGGTAATTATTCCAGGAAAAATTAGTTGTTTTTCTATGAGATTAATGTTCACTATTTATGAAATGTTGAAGGGGTTTGTGGACGTCCAATATATTTGTTCAAAGAATATGACTGTAAAGACAGAAGAAATTAATTAGTCGGGTATGGGGAGACGGCTTGTTATAGTTATGGAAAGATTTACAAATAGATGCCAACTTGTTGAAGGCCAAGTAAAATGCAAATTTCAAAAACTTTTCTGCACTATATAAAACGATATTTCTAAACAGCACTATTTTTTATATGAAAATCAAAACAATCCTTGAATAAAAGAAGATAAATGAAGGACAGTCAATTCATGAAATATACTTTTTTAAAATCAATACGCTGATTAGTTAAACCTGAAAAGTGATATCGCCTAGAAGTAGATAATAGATAATTCAAATATTGAGCTTTTAGTAGAGTTGTGACCTTTTAACTTCATGATTCGTGGGAGAATTGAGATCTAATTTCGCATTTATTTGTATAAATAAACTGTCAATTTCAGCTTATATGTGTTTTTATTACTTATACTTTTGCATTAATTTGGCGATGAAAGATATTATTACGTAACTTGAATTTTGTTCATCATGTGTAAATAAAAATACATCGTTTTTGACCAAAACAACCACATTTGCGAAAGTACATGAGAGAACGACCATTAAGTGTAATAGACACAAAATGTCTATTGCCTTTAACAATACATGTTTAAAAGAACAATTTTTTTATTTTTACTTTTTTTTTTACTAATATTCACACTTTAAAGATCTAAGAGCCACTCAAGTTAGAGGGTTACTGAAGAAGGTAATTAAAATATATATCAGTAACTATTTTATTCGGTATATTAGGGCAGCATTCGAACATTCTCCATTCGAACAGCTTCTTTCCACGAACCAACTCCCAAGAGGATGCTTTCCCAACTACTATAATCTTAATCTGTTCAAGTCTAAGTGTTAAGGATACGGAGTTATGTAAAGTTTATTAAATATTTACATTAGTTCGCCAAAACCGGTGCATGTTCTTTAATTGCAACATATTTAATGAGAAATGTGCAGAAAGCATACAAAAATGCACTTAAAAGTTTCTAAATCTAAACGTCAACATTGTTTTCTCAATCGTGGTGTTCCATTTTTGAATGAGGTACACATGGCTGCTTCGTAGAAGTTTCTTCGCTGGTTCATAATAATGAAGGCAGGTCTCGTCAGTTGTGATTATCCTGCTTAGGATGTTTCTATTCTTCTTTATCCGCTTGTAGAAGTCTTTAGGCAACAAGCAAATCCCTACTCTTCCGGAAAGGCTGTCATCATTCGTACACAAATATGAAGACAGAAAAGAAAGTAAAAAAAGTTTTATTACCTTGCTCAGGTTCAACATGTTGATCAACAGTATGATGACACCGGTTTCGAGCCCTCTCAGCTGGACAGTCCCAGGAACCGTCCTGTTGGCAGTCGCAATTATATTCATAACATCCATCCATAAATGAAAAGGGTGTGCCCAACGGAAACTGCTTTCCTTTTGCTGTACACATTTCTACTCCATCACCAACAATTATGTACATGGATCGGCTTGAGGCTGGAATTTAGTTAGAAAAAGAATATAACATTAGTTACAAGCATTATTTATTTATTCCTATCTTTCTTTCTTTTCTAATATATATATATGGACATTAAAAGAAAGAAAGCAAAAAGATAAAATCTAGTAAAAAGATAATTTAAAAAAGAAAGAAAGAAAGCAAAAAGACTAAATGTAGTAAAAAGACAATCTAAAAAAGAAAGCAAAAAAAAAGCAAAAGACAATTTAAAACGAAAGAAAATCTTTAAATAATGTTATGATTTTTTTTTTTTTTCTTTCTTATCTTTTCAGGATTCTAAATCTAGATCTCAGTATAGTTTTCTCAATCGTGGTATTTCATTTTTGAATAAGTGGATGTATGGCTGTCTCGTAGAAGATTCTTTGGCTGGCTCGTAATAATGAACCCATCTCTCATCATTTATGATGATCCTGCTTATGAAGTTGCTATTTATCAGTTTGTTGCTCCACTAAGTGGATGTGCGGTTCTGCGGTGTGAAGAGTAACGGGGTAAGGAATGAGAAATCCTAGAGCCAAGTTCAAATTCCACTCGTGTTTGTTACATTACGCTCAAATACAATTGGCATATAAACCTAAAAAATTTCAAGTATGTCTTCCTAGTGTGAAGTAGAAGTGTTTTGTTTCCATTTTCTGTAAAAATTTGTCACATGTTCAGTCCATGGTATTCTCGCTGTCCATCTGTAGAACTACATTTCTGTTGCTTCAGGTTTCTTCATCATCTGAGTGGTGATTGTCCAGCATTAGTTATCATGTAAGAGGACTATTATTACGTAATAGTTCAATTATCATTTCTTTGTTTCTAACGAAATTTTCATGTTTCTTAATACATTGCTTAACTTTTGGAAGACATCTTTCGCTATCCCAACCTGTTTTTGGATTTCAGTGTCGCCCTTTCCGTCCTCTGTTAAAACATTTCACAGAGAGTTAAATTATTGAACTTGTTTGATTTCCATATCATTTTCATATCTCCAATTTTTAATTTGTATATTGAGATGCCTTTTTTGAAAGCAGAAAGACAATGCATTAAATTGAATTAAGGAAATGCTTTGTACACAAATGGTTCAGATGCAAAGTTTCATAATTCTAAAATACTAATTTCTTGTCCACAGCATCTTATTCTCTTGAATTGGTCGTGAAAAATCTTGAAGATCGTAGAATTGCTATTAATGTTTATTCTCTGGTTAATACTTCACCTTAAAAGATAGACTTGTTAATAATTATTTCGCGCCATTTGCATTTAATCAGAATAATATTCAAACTTACCGTTTTCAATTATTTGCTCTGATTGCTTTTGGCAAATATACAAAGAGAGATCGGCAGGGCATTCCCATGATCCATCTGTCTTGCACTGGCAGTTAAACCGGAAACAACCGTCATTAAAAAAAAAAGGCCGCCCAAGTTCGTAGGTCTTTCCGTTTGCTTCACAGTGTCTCATCTCCGAACCAGATGGTAAAACTCGGCCTCTGCTGTAGACTGTGCGCATAATTTCGGCAGTTGATTTTAATATGAAATATAAATGAAAATATGAAACATCTCAAATGAAAACATTACAAAAGTAATATTTGACGGACTTTAAACATAGGAATGTTTAATCAAAAGTTAAAGAGCGTACTAGATCATACAAATATGTCAGATGGTATGTTAATAATCTAACTGGATAATCATTGAAAACGGGAGATTATATAAAGCTTATTGCAGAAGGGCTTCTACTATACGTGTTTCTTGACACAAGAATGAAAGCAACAATCTATACCGAAAAAGATATTGTGTAATGAACGTGCTTTAACGACTCGGTTGCCAGGAGCTTCACAATCAAGCAAGCTTCTATTTACGAAGAGAAAGTCGCACCAGTCCGAAGTGAACTCATAAATTAGGTTTTGAAAAGGCAGGCGGCCATCAATTTTTAAGAGATTCTTGGAAATACAGAAGGTGGCCCTAAACTTTCTCCAAAAACAGTCAACCAGGGCAATTCTAGAAAATAACGTTTTTAAGTCAAAGGATCTTTGTAAAAACAGTGTTCGATATCGAGAAATACAAAATAATAATTTAATTTAATACTAAATAAAATATTTTTCGCTTATCTGATGACTGCCTGTGTTGCAAGATTACAGCTACATACATTTGATGTTAAATTTACCATCAAGTCTCCTGAAGAGTTGATGTAATTGACAGTGACAAATGAACTGGTATATTTTATTATAGAAGTTATATCAGGCTTCTATCTATCTATCTATCTATCTATCTATCTATCTATGTAAAAGAAATTTATTTGTATGATTATATATAGATATAGATAGATTAACGAGTTCATGCGTCTTTCAAGAGGGGCACTAATCGGACCCCGAACAGTCACACGATGAACGGATGTTCCCTCGAGAAGGCACCTTGCCTTGAGAGAATACTCAAACTTCTACCTGATCAAAAGTGGAACACTTATATACGATCCACCGTTAAAGATGGAGGTAAAATTATTGGCTCCTTTTACCGCTCCAGTAAGTATCTGACACCTCATGCTCTCATCCCCATACGTTTATAAGAGCCAGATCAGGCCTAAAAGGAAGTACTGTTGGCACGTTTGGACGGGAGCTGCCCAGTCCTCACTTTGCAATCTTGATGGGGTTCAAAAGCGAGTCCGAGTTGGAAAAGAATTATTTTCCACCCTCCAACCTGTCTTTCACAGGCGGTATGTGGTTAGCCTCTCACTGCTCTGTCATTATTTCCATGGAAAGTGCTCGGACGAACTATATTCCTTGGTTCCGCCATTTTTAACCTTTATGGCTAAAACCCGCCATACCACTTAACATAGTAGTAAACCACCCACATTCCCTTCATATTCCATCGGCGAAAGTAAGTTCCACTCAAATAGCTTCTTCCCGTGAACCACTGCCCTGTGGAACAGACTCCCAAGAGGTTGCTTCCCCGGTCATTGCAATCTTAACCTGTTCAAGTCTAGAGTTAACCGTTATTTTCCTCTCCTATCCATGTAAACTACTCCTTAACGTAACCCTCTACTTCGAGTGGCCTTGGACCTTGTACAGGTTGAACCTTACTGTAAAAAATGTTTTTACACGCGCAAAATAAATTTTTAGGGCTTGGAAAAAAGTATTATTTGATAACCAACTGTGATTATTTACAGAAATGAACATTTGATATTAAGAGATAGTCGATGCGGGCACGTATATCTCCCATTATGTGGCTTTATACTCACATTTTGCCATGACTGAAACTTCACGTGAATGTTCTCCGGCTATTTTTAAACATGTGAATTGGGTGCGGTCAGCGGGACAGGCCCAAGAGCCATCTTTGTGACAGTTGCAATTGTGTCGGAAGCATCCTTCAGTAAAGGAGAAGGTACGGCTTAGTGGATATCGTGTGCCGTTGATGATACAAGCCCGTGCATTTCGAAATGGAATAATGTACATACTTCGACCGGAAGCTAAAAATAAGAAATAAAACGCCTACATGAATAAACCATCGAAGCAGTTGTCTAACGAGTTCATTTGAAAAATAACAACAATTGGAATAAAATAGAAGAGGAAATAGTGTATAAATAAATTAAAATCCAAATAAGGACACAATGCTAAGTAAATCAAATGAAGAGGCATAAGGGTTAATAGCATAAAAAACGGAACTAGTATAATGAGTTCTATTCTTAAGTGGGGTTGTTTACTTTCAATAATCAGTCTTACGCTTAAGAAATATCTAAATTCACAATCCCGCTCGAAGACAAATCTAAACAAATGTGTCTTTTCACAGGAGTGGTTAGAATGTAGATGAGTGAACACTTGGCTAAACCATTCTCCCATTCCTAAATTCTGCTCAAGTAGTAGTAATTGGGAAAAGCTGTTGCATCCATTGTTAAAATTAACTGGGTCAGTATACCTACTAAGGAAAGACTAAAATTAACTGGGTCAGTATACCTACTAAGGAAAGACTAAAATTAACTGGGTCAGTATACCTACTAAGGAAAGACTAATTTAGTACTGATCCTAATAAAAGTAAATGCTAAAGAGAAAGAATAAATTAGACTAAAATCATATACCAACTGGGAAGGGATAGCTTCCCTTCAATTTCAGAAACGAAATCCTCCTTTCTCCTTTTTCCTGTTCGAACGCAAACGCTTTGATATTTATTATGTTGCCTACAGCACAAGACGAAATTAGATAAATTGCGGTCGGAGGTTTTTGTTGTGTCAATCTTTCAAATCAGCGACTTTCTTGCCTTTAAAAATAGCATTCGAAATTGTGGCTTTCATTTGGGATCGAATAGCAAATTCAGTCACCGGAGAGGAAAAAAAAGCAAAAAAAAAAAACGAAAAAAAACAAATAGCAAATTTTATCAGAATTTATTTTTTACAATTTTGCATTTCGAAAATAAATAATTTGCTAGTTGTGCCTCAGTAAAAATAAACCTCAACAACATTACCAAATTTAGGATCAAATAGAGAGCAATTGAGTGACAGGAAGACTGTGTTGCGCCAAGATATCATATGGGAGTGTTGCTTTAAAATCAGCGTTCGAAATCTGAGGTTTTTTTTTTTACTTGGGATCAAATACTAAACTCTAATGCAAATAGGAAATATATCTTAGCCACGAGACAAGGTCAGCTACAAAGAGATACTTACTAAGATTAACTTACTATAGCACGTTGTCTGATGAACATGGGATATATATCTATTTTGTCATAGATATACACACTACCCATTCCGCTAAAAAAGCGAAGACTTCTATCAAAGTCTTTGCAATTAATATTTTATTGTAAGAAATATAAGTGCAATATGTGACACCAATTATACCCCCGACCCCTGGGGGGGGGGGGCGTACGTTTTTATTAGGTGAAAGCGTTCTCTTTGATTTTCGTTAAAAAAATAGGACGTTTCGTCAAGTTACCTAAAAATCATTTGTTTACATTTTGTTGTCCCATTCGTCCCTGACTGCTTCCCACAGCAGGCATTCCGTGTTAAATCTTTTAACTGAACTTTAGAGTCACCGTTCTGAAGAACCGGTAGATAGCCCAAAGCGTGGCTCGGCACTCCAGTAAATAGGTTCAAATCAATAAGTATCATAATGGCCACTAATGAAGACCTTGAAATTGTTTTTGTTAACACAAGATGATTTTTGAATTGATAAATTCTTATGTCTATTACATTTTCGGATGTTTCCTAAATGATATTTTTAGTTGCGATTTTTCAGAAACTGTATGGCCAGTTCTCAGAACTGAAGACAATGCAACCTGCATATCCTCAAACATTAAAAGTTTTGGAATATTTCGATAAGATTTTTCTATTTGACGAAGACCGACATTACTTGCCTGTCATTTACAATGTTTCTTAAGACGTTTCAAGACAATTTCAATTCTAGGTACAGCACAGATGACAGATGATCAATGTTTTGTTTTTTGAACTGGATCAGGATTTAGACAAAGTGCATGTTAGATATCAGATGTTATGGCCATTCATTTTTGTAATTCACTTAATGGATTGCGGCTTGAACTGAGGAATCAGAGAACCGATTTGGAATTCTAATCGAGTTCATTACATTCATTTTCGTACTAATACACGGAAAGGTATGAATCCAACTCTTCTCTCCCAGCACACAGCTACGGGGAAAAAGTAGGACAGACTGGGTTTCATGGCGTTGGGTGGTAACTTTTTCTAGAAGGAAAACTCTGAATTCAAAACAGTATGCAGCCCTGACGAAGCACATTCTATGCCGCTCAGGTAAGGATTATTCACATTGACTCGATGACCCCGACAATGGCCAATTCCTTTAAATTTTTCACACTCTGAACAAAACGAAATTGATATATGTAAGCAAAAACGAATCAACATTAAAAAAACAAAAACAGGAAGATAAATATTTTTACAAAAAATAAATGTACAGAAAAATATTTAAAGTCAATATCTTTGTAGAAGGGGCCTGTTTTCCATGAAAAATCATCTTTTGAATTTTTAAGTTACAACACTGCTACTGCTGACAAAAGAGGCAAAATCACTACCATTACAGCCACTGGGTGGATCTTTCAATGCATCAAGTCAAAATAAAAACAATTACTTACTCTGGGCCAACTGTTCTCCAGGTTCACTTTGACAAATATAGTTGGCACGATCAGCTGGACACACCCAAGATCCATTACTGAAGCAGTCACAGTTGAACCGGAAGCAACGGTCGGTGAACGAGAAGGGGCGACCCAGGGGATATTCAACTCCTTGGGCAATGCAGAATTTCACTTTGGCTCCCATGGAAATAACAACGCTTTGGCTGTAAACTGTAAAATATTACAAGACTAAATACAGATATTTCATAATAAATGCACGTCACCTTCTCAATTGACGATATTAATTATAATTATCATTAGATGTGTGTAAATTCATTCAGATCACGCACTTCATTCATCATAACCATTTATCAGTAGACCTCTACCTTGAGTGGCTCTCGAACCGTGCACTGGGTGAACTTTTGTATAAAAAGCATTCTCAGTGAGCTTTCACACAATTATTATTATTATTTTGTTACGTTCTCTTGATTTGCTGTTTGCTACAATCCTACACCAAATTTTTAATCAATGAGCTTACGTAAAGAAAGTTTTTCTCACAAAATCTTTGATTATATTGCACTGAGAGACTTTTCTGAGTATTTCAAACTATATAGAATTGTCATTTAATTGTTAGCACTTTTCTTAGTATATGCGATGTTCTACGTAGGGCAGTCTTCTGGGCAACCTGTATGTTGATGTTACCTGGGACACTTAGTAAAATTGTCCATTCCTTTTCTGACGAAGCCCAGAGATCCGATTACTATTAGTAGTAGTCAGTCATCATTCCCCCCCACATCCTGTTAATCTCGTTCTCCAGGTCCTTGAACAATTTCTCGATAATTTTCATGGAGATGTTTCTCTCAGATGGTACTGTTATGTCAATAAGCATACACTTCCTGAATTTCTTGTCTTTTATAATAATATCAGGTCTGTTGGCTTTTATTTCCCTGTCAGTTTGTATTACCATGTCCCAAAGAATAGTTACATCGTTATTTTGGGTAACTGTGTCTGGTTGGTGCTTATGCCATCTCTCAGTGGTTTCGATTTTGTGCTTCTTGCATATCTTCCAGTGCACATATATCGCTACCTTATTATGTCATTTTCATTTTATGTCTGTCAGTATTATTATTATTATTATTATTATTATTATTATTATTCATTAAAGCCCGCAGAAAGCGGGATGTAATTTCAAGTCAAGTCCCTTAACATTTATTTTTACAATTATTTGCGAAAAATAGTAGGGGGGACTACTCCGTAATTAACCAAACTCCAACTACATTTCAAATTTTCAATAAATTTTACTTGTAATTCTATCAAATTCTAATGAACAGGAGCCTTGTATTTTTTTAACATACATACTTACATGTTAGAAAATCGTTTTGTAACAAAATGTAAAAATGTTAATGGAAAATGACGTAAAGGAAAAAATAATCAGATCAATTAATAAAATATTGATGGAAAAATTTTTTATTTACTTTTTGTAAATTTTATTTTAGTATAAAACATGTAATAAAATATTTTTTTGCCAAAATAGACATATTATTTTACGGTAAAAATTATTTTCTGTAGAAATTGGTAATCGTTTCATTTTTCCCTCTTTCAATGTTGATGTGGTTTTCTTTTCAGCTTTTTTAACAAACAAAACAACAAATATACCAAAAAACATATAATTGTTATCAGGGGTAGGCAAACGTAGAGTCCCATACTTTTAAAAATTAAGATGTAAATTTTACTTTATTCTTCGAGAATTAAACGGCATTGTCCTAACAAAAATCTTGAAGGGACATTTTTTGTGCTATGGTAACAAGCAAATCTCAAAAACATAAATCTCTTCATTATTATATAGATTATTTTATCAAGAAATGAATTTCGTTTTGAAACCGCAAATAATGGAGACGTTCAAATAAGTGGTTCAAAAATATTATAATTAAACAAAATGCATCAGTAACTCCAATGCACTTCTTATGCCAATGTATGACAATGTCATTCATGAGAACTGTCTGCAATTATCAGCATTTTGTATGACCAGTAAATTCTCTGAAAGCCATTTTTGCGGTTGTCTAATTCAGAAAGTCTTCAAATATTGTTAGTGCTTGAGGAAATGATTATCGAGAGAAAAGAGAGAAACAGATATATATATATATATATATATATATATATATTTATATAAAAATATATATAATTATGTTTTATAAAAAATAGCCATTTTGTTTCAAACATTCTGTATGTTATAAGATCACTGAAAATAAAATAAATGGTTTCAAAACATTCTGCATTGTTCAAAAGCTAGAATAACCTCAAAAACGAAGTATGATGATGTTAATTTAAATAAACTACCGAAAAAAATGGGTTTAAAAGTTTCAGATTAATTAACGATCCGACACTAGGGGGCATCCCAAGAATATACAAAAACTGTAAAATAACCAATCATTTTTGTTAAAAATTATTCCATGAAGCTTCAACATATAGAAAGATTCAAAAAGCTTGACAACGAAATCCTGCTATAATAGCTATTCAGATCTTTAAATACGTGTAATATTAAAAATAATTTATACTAACTAATAATTATAAAATCATATGATAAAATTTAATATTAAAATTAAAAATTGGTAATTTTAAAATCCAAATTTAATCACTATTAAGTTTAAAAACTACAAAATTATTGAGAAAAGAAAAAATATATATGTTTATTCAATTCATTTCTTCATTGAAATTATGTTCGACAAGGACGCTACAATATATCCGGTCATTTGATAATACATGTATATATATTTTTTTCCCTTTCATTTCCGTTTTTATTTTAAAGTTTGTGGATGTGGTCTTAAACTCACGCGTCAAGACAACAAAAACACAATCAGATTATAATACATAAGCACCCAGACATAATTAGATATACACACACACACACACACACACATACACACACAAACACACACACACACATACATACACACTAAAAAAAAAAAAAAAAAGAAGGAGGTGGTGGGGAAAAACATGAACATCTCTACAGCCTTTTATGAAAAAAGGGAGACGTGGAAACTAACACTAATACACACACACAGTGAATACACTCTACATACACATAGACACCGATAGATACACATACATACATCCACAGACAATGACAGACAATGAGAAATCACAACCAATAAATATTTCAGACTTAAATAAATGCTAACCACTTATTGAATTATAACTTAAGGGAGCAAATATACAAAGATAAAAATGGTTAAAATTAATATTATTTAATATATTAAAACGAAAATTCTAAAACCATAAATATCAATAAAAATATATATTAATCATATAAGTTGATAATAGTTTCATTATATATTAGGCAAGGAAAAACAGTATACAGAAACACACAACTATATACATATATATATATATATATATATATATATATATATATATATATATATATATATATAAAAAACAAATTAACACACATAAATATACACTCATACATACATATACATATATATTTACATATAGAAATGCATACAAATAAATATATAAACATAAACATATACGCACATATACATATCTATGATAACAAGTACACATGCACGCACATATACATATAAACCTAAATACACCCACATATATACACACGAACTTTTATGCACACATACTTACATATATAAAAAACAGTCATGATATACCAAAGTTTCCATACCCCCACATATACACAAACAAACTCATACATAATAGGTGCCAACACACACACATATATATATATACACATAAACATACATAAATATATATACACACATACATACATATCTACAAATAAACATATATATAAAAATATCTATCTACAATAACAACTAACCATATACACATGCATACATAAAAATACAACAACACTCAACCAAATACATACATAAACATACATAAACGTACTAACATATTGATACATAAATATACCTTCAAAAACCAACACACACCAATATACATATAGTCTAACATACAAATATATAAACACAATCATACAAACAGAAATATACTTAAATATAGATATACATACACAATAAAATAGGACATACAGATATATATATATATATGCACACATATATATATATACATACATACATACACACATACACACACACAGACATATATATATACAAATATATAGTGGCGTAAAGCCGAAATTAGGAGGCACTCAGTGAGGAACTAATTCATTACTCAGTCGCACCCAATCCCGCGAACCATGCTGGCCAACCATTATACTGCCGTGATTTTATCATACATATACATATATATATTTATACATATACACATACACACACATACATACATATACACACATACATACATATATATATGCATACATATATACATATATACAACCACACACACACACACTTATATATATATATATATATACACATACATATATATATATATATTTACATATATACATACATACATATACACACACCCATACACACGTACATATATAGGCACACACGTACATATATAGCGTAACAATTATTAACCTCTTCTCTTATCATCTACCATACCTTCCCACCTAATATATATACATATATACACACACACTCACATATATATACACATACACACACACACCCACACACATATATATATATTTAAAAAAAAACAAAAAAAACAAACAATAAATACACATACACCAACCTACACATTCCTCAGTGTCAATACTCTAACCAACACATAAATAAATATAAACACATTTGCACCAACACTAATGACACTATGCAGGTATACAATACACACTTATATCGTAAGTATGACCATCATGCAATAAAAACACTAATCTATTAAAAATACAGCGACATATCATTATCATTTAAAGTATACGACCCCTACACTAAGTTAAATTTATAACGGTGTTTACAATTAACTGTAAGTTCATATCTTTGATTTAAGAGATCAGCCTTGTTTTTAAATCTAATAATTTCAAATTTTTCATTAAGGCATAGGTAACATGGGGTATATAGTGAGTTACATGTACGAGCTTTCTTATCCAAACTCCATTTAACCGTAGGTGTTTTGTTCTTATCTTTTAGATTCCAAAAATACTTGGATAATGAAGTCATGTACCTATATTCACTGTGATTAAAGGATTGCATATGCCCCCCGCCAGCGTTCTTGAATGTTTTCATGGTAGAACCAATGTAAAACTTCTTTATATTTGATTTTCAATTGTTGAAATAGTACCAAGATAGACTACAGAAGTAATTCCA